CTGAAAATTTTATCACAGATGCACTTTTACACCCCCAACATAGCCACAAAGTTTCATGCTATCTCGATGCTCTGAAGCTGGGATCGAATTTTGAGGAGAGGGGGGGAGCTTAAAAGTTGGCAAAATGATGGAAAAAAGTGTGTGGGTGTGGTGTGTTAGCGTAGGGTATGGATGTTGGGTGTACGGATGCAGCGTAGATGTGGGTGTGGGGTGTGCAGGTGGGTGTGCCGTACAATTGTGGTGTGCTAGTGTGAGTAAAGGAAAGATCTGTATCTACAATCGCATTCACCCACATCTCTACGCCCACCCATTTGTGATAACTCCCTTGATAATCTAGCGTATTTTCCTATTTCATTTGTTCTATGTTCTTTACGTTTATAGATCCGTGCTGCTACTTTTTGAGATTTCGATAAAATTGCAGCAAAATAAGCTGTATATGTAAAATTAGTTCTGGAGTTTTCAGGAATCTTAAATTCTGCATTAATTTCTAATCATCTCATTCTTTTCATGATTTTACTAATTTTTAAGTTTTTAAAAAATTATATTGAATTTATCAACGAAAAACTGTAGCTCAAGGCCAAGTGAAATTGGAGCGTAAATGTGTCTGCGAGGCAGCTGTCTGGACAGCAAATGCCATAGGGGAGCAAATGTCACTAGGGAGCAAGTGTCCGGGGAGCAATTGTCCTAGGAGAGCAAGTGTCCGGGGAGCAATTGTCATTGGGGAGCAACTGTCCTTGGGGAGCAAATGTCGCGAGAGCAAATGTCGCGGGAGCAACTGTCGCTGGAGAGCAATTGTCCGGGGAGCAAATGTCGCGGGAGCAATTGTCCGGGGAGCATCATTCGTGTTACCTTCTATTTATTATTACTTGTTGACGAAAAGAAACTCTGCTACTAGGATTGACGATTTAGTTTTGCTGCAATTTGAGTGACTATGGATTGAATACGAGGATCGATGATCGTTGCGGTGTCCGTTCCAATTCGATTCAAAACGTAGGCAAAAGAAAGGTTCTTTGACGGTGCTGCAAAACCAATGCTGCCACCAGCTTCTAAAACTCATTAAGGTAGAATTGTTTGCTCCTTTTAATCATCATTTTCTATCTTACCGTGATGACCAAAGACGCCTGGTCCAAACTCCGGAAGAAATCAATCAAATCGATGGAAACCCATGGCAAACGATGAATAATCCTGTAGTACAAGATCTATCTCATTCAATGGTGTGTTCGATTTGGTTGCACGTTTCATAATTTCTTCATTTAACAATCGATGTTCGAATCCGTGGTCAAGATGACCGATCAATGATGCATAAAGGCGTGCAATTGACCAAGCATTAGATAGTCCGATGGCTGCTGGTATCTCTGCTTGATGTATGTGTGGATCGTTCCATACTTAAAAATAATCTTTCATGGTTTCGTTCAGCATGTTCTTCACATCGGGATGAGGAACTACTGGTGATACGCGATATTGAATGTTGGGTGGTAGACCAATGTAAAATTCTATTTGCAATGGACTTGCAATCTCATCTTTGATAAATTGTCCAAAAGATCTTTTCTTTGGATCAACACGGTGAACAAGTTCACCAGCTAGCCAACCATAGGTCACTGCATGATACCCATGAGCTGTTCCTGGAGCCCATAATGGTTCTTCTTGTTCTAGTGTGTGAATCATGGCTGTCCAGTTAGTAAATTGATCAATTGGCGATGATGTATAAGGTAACCCAGCACGATGTGAAAGTATGTCAGCCACTGTCGTATTCTCCTTGCCATTTTGTCCATATTCTGACCAATATTTTGTCACTAATGCTGAATAGTCAAGTAACCCTTGCTGCACACAAAGGCGCAACAGCTACGGCAACTAATCCTTTAGTAGTTGAGAAAACTAATTGTAGTGAATTATCATCATACAATTTCGTTCTTGACTCGTCAAACCATCCACCTTTGAGATCCACAACAAGATGACCATGATGATAAACTGCTATAGCTGCACCTAACTCTTGCTGTTGAATAAAATTTTCTCGAAACAAATCCCGCACAAATTCCCATCCGTATGCAGTTGTTCCATGGATGTTATGATCAGATTCATTGTAGCAAAACACTGTCGAAAATAAATAAAGTAGAAACCATGTAAAATAAGCCATTTTCTTAAGTATATATTGAATCTCACAAGAACCGCAAAATCAATAAAGATAAGTAATGCATTAGTAACACGTCTTTTAAATAAATGGCAGATACAACAAAAGCAAAACGTATTAACTAATGCAAATATCACATAAGGATGATATTATGAGGGATTAAGTAAGTAAATAATCAGGCTTATACGGCCGACTGTGGCATATGTAAGTAATTCATGATGATGGCGATCACCGAAGGATGTTGATTGTGAATGACAAAGGGAATGCCATAGCTTCCGTCACACACCAAGTTCTCAAAAAATCCTTGTGTTTATCGAGCAAGGACTCGCATGGCTCTCAAAATAATGTCGTCGTCGTTATTTAACCGTTTGACAGTGAAGCCAGTGAATTTATGTTTTGAAAATTTGAATAGAGGGCGAAGCCGAAATAGAGTAAAACAGGTCTTTTCAATATTTGTTGTGTTCAGACATGCATGCTGCTGATAATATTATTGCATCTTTATATCAAGTCTAAGTACGAGAATTATGGCAGCCAATAAGTTTTAAAGCATACTGTGTTTGCGATAGTTTTTTACTTTATTTGTTCCTAAAATAAGACTATCGTCAACGGGCTAAACAATAAATAATACAAATAAAATCGTTAATCGTTTCTTTTTTCTCCTCAAGTACGTGCCTATCCAGTTAGAGTAGCAAAACATAATGACGTAACTAGTAGTTCCTTACTCAACATGCCATATTTATCGTATTTTTGTTTGCAGTTCGATATATTAATTTCTGCATTTCACAAAATAATACTAAACATCGACTAAATTTTGAAACTACTCTCATAAAAAAAAAAGGACTTTTCTTATCACTTGAACGATTGGCATACACAAGAGCATTGACAACAGAGTAGTATATCTGTAGTATAAAGATCTCAATGGCAAAATTTGCTCAATATAGACTATGAGTATTTCTGATAGAGTTGCCATCACTATTGCAAGGACGCACAAGTTGCTATAATCTTGGACCATTCAAACACTTTTCAATTACACGTGGAGAGAAGAAAAATAAGAGAAATGAACAACAAAACTCTTTGTCTCTGCGAAAGAATTCATTTGCTATTGATTGTTGACACAAATGTGAAGATGTTGTTGAAACGAGCAACGAAATCTACAAGAATAACGTTTTGCTTCATCAACAATTTTCAACATTGTCTTCCAACGAAAATTCCTGAATCGCAATAAACACCTAAAACCAATTGCTCTATGAGACGAACCAAAGAGAGGTATCAAAACGATCTAGTATGAAAAAAAATCGATAGGAATATATTTCATGCGGAACAAAGTCTTATCGATACTGGCAAAAAATCCGATCAAATAATCATCAGCAAAGCTGAACGAATCAAACAAATTTCAATGATTTTTATTGATTGCTGCATTTTCACGAGGTTAACACAGAAACTGATCGAATCATTTGAACAAAAAAGGAGACAACTAATGATCACCGGGTAATGTTGCTGAGAAGATATATCTCATGCTAATTGATTACGAAGTGATTTCATGATGCCGAGAAATAGCAAAGTAGGAATTAGTACAAAGAATAGAGCCGATCGATATTGAGCAGGTGCTGCACATTGTGCTGTTAAATCAATTTCTGTTGTGGACGAGATCAAACTTGATGATGCTGAATTGGTGTATTGACCACTAGTGGTCGTTTGGATCCAAGATTGATATTGGGCTATACGCGTGTAACTACCAGCATAACTCGCTTGAGCACAACCAATGCCACTGCTTGTCGCACCGACCAAAACCCACTCATTGTTTGACGTGAAAGCCATCAGAGGACCACCGGAATCACCTTGACACGCATCTAAAATAAAGAAGAGAAAAAGACAATCTTATTTTGTATGAATCCAGGAAAGTGAAGTGCATTTGCCTTTGCATGTAGAAGCGGCGCAAAATTGATACAACCAATTATTGATCACAGAAGTACAGGTTGATGATTGACGATCAACCGTTTGCATGGTCACTTGTTGAAGTGTCGATGATACGGATCCACCTTCTTTCAATAGACCCCAACCCACAGTCACTACCTAGAATCCCGCACAGTTTCACATTGAAATAGACATAAATACTTACTGTTGTTCCAGCTGGAGGCCATTCGCTATTTGATAATATGGCAGAACTGACAGATGGAAGACAAATGGCACTGACAGCCGGATCAGCCATATTCAATGAAGTCGACAGTTGAAGAAGAGCGATGTCATTGATCAAGGTACCCGAATTGTAGCTTGGATGGGTAGTGACTGATGATACTGATCTAGTCTGACTGCCGGACCAGATCGTATTGGAACCAGCGTAAACAGTGATTTGGTTGGCGCTAACTCCCGAAACACAATGAGCAGCTGTAAGAATCCACGAAGCTGAAATGATCGATCCACCACATAACGAACCTTGGATCCATAGCGACACGGCCCAACCCCAAGTCTGCGAAGCAGCTGCTTCTCCTCCAACAATACGTGTCAATGTTGCTGAATTAGTTGAACACCCACAGGAAGAACTTGAACTACATGAATATGTTGTCGAAGAACTCAGTTTGACAACCATCAATAGCAGCATTAAAGTAAGAATTTTCATCATTATTATTGCAAGTCGTTGTTGAGTGAAAAAATTAAATGAGAAAAAAAAGAAAAAAGCAAAAGAAAGTACATTCGATTTTCGTCACTGCTCTCCGTGCATGTTTGTCTTTTTTTTTCTTCTATTACTGAATCTTGCAAAGAAAGAAAAATATTTTTTTCAATTATGGCATGATTATTAAACTATTCAACAGGCTTCATTGAATGTTGTTCGGGCACCTTTGCCAATAAATGCAAAAAATATTATGAAGCAATAGAGAGCAAACTATTTTCTTCTTCATCGGTTTTGAGTAGGACAATGGATCGTGTTAATAAAGTCATGAAAGAAAATTATGTTTGACATCGCCAAAGATAATCATTGTCTATAAGCCTTTGTGTCTCATTAATACAATTCATTGTCGAAATTCGATCGTCGACTGAGAGACTGAGCCATAACAAACAAACTTTGACAATCGCAAATAAATTCTTATCGTTTTTATTGAAGAATATCTGGCAATGATTCACTCACGGCGATGCAGCTAGACATGAAATTTCTTTTTTGGTCATGTTTTTGTTGTTGTTGAGAAACACCGTGCGTAATATTTGGTTGTTTCTCGTATGAGTTCTAGACGAAAAGACAGATAAAGCATCGATCTGTTGATGTTTTGAAAGGAAATCCTCTTTTTGGAACCTATAAATTTGCAAATTCACCTGTCTGCACTACTATATCCTCTATATCCCTGACTATATCTGTCGTACCTTTGGTCTTATTATCGAATTCTCTTTGTCTCAACAGATTTATCTTAACGTTTATTTGGGATTTGAATTGATGGTGGCAATAATTAGATACCCGAACATAAATACGCAAAGTCAAGTTTCGACAAAAGAATTAACACAAATCTGTTTTGATTGAACTTTTGCTATCATCATTGACGACTAAGAGAAAAATCACTTGACATAAAATTAAAAAAAAGACTCTCTTCTACTCGCCGTTATTGAGCAAGACTTTGATACAACACATGATTTCATGTATCGATTAAATTCACTTTACAACGCTGTTTTGACTCTTGAAAAAAAAATTCTGTTCTAATGAGAGGACATAACAAAACACTTGAAACATGTCGCTGTATATATTGAAATACGATGTGATTTTGGACTCTACTGCCCAATAACTTGAAAAACCCACCAGTTGGTTCTGATTGTTTATGAGAAAGGAAGAGTTCATCTCCAAATAAAACAACAATCATTGAAACTAACACAAATATGAGTAAAAGAAACATTCTCAGGTATATTATTCTGTCAGTAAAGAAAGCAACAATCATGTGAAGAAAACTTTCTTCAGCGATTTGCTTCGTACAAAAAAAAACATTAATCGATTCATCTATGAAAGACGTATTTCGTTTCTGATGATTATGTAAAAAAGTAACTGCAACATGGTCTTGAATACAAGTTGAAATTTTATCTGAATAGAAACAAGCATTGAATTTTACTTGTCGAAACAGTAGTATCTTATTTCAGTAAATTTTGAACTCTTGAAGATTTTTTGAACTTAAATATAACCTGTTCAGTAACCCAAAACAATCGTGCATCATGCAATATTTTATGTTTTTACTTGCAAAAGAACATTTCTAAGTGACTACTTACTCTTCATCTCATTTATTTACCAACAAGTAAAGAATCACTAGATTAGAATAACTCCGAAAGTATAGATGGTCTAATTGGAATATTTGACAGAGATATCGAAGTTTTTGTGGATTTTTTCTACCAAACCCAGCTATTCAGTAAAATCATATTTTCAAATTTCGACTTACAGCTTAACCCAAATAAAAACCTCCGTTAGACTAGTTTGTATAAACAATTTCAAAATTTATGAACATCACATCTCCAAGATATGACTTTTCAAAATATACGTGCATTTTAATACGTATTGTAAAAAGATATGATGATATTGAAAAATTCATATACATGAGATACAATATTCAAAAGCTGTGAAAATTCATCCCACAAGCTAATCTAATCAAGATCTTTATTTGGACAAAGTTTTAGATCAAAATTCGAAGTTCTGCAGAAAAAATCTTCTTTTCATTGGTAAATAAATGAGCTCAAAAGCAAGAGATCAATCTCGAAAATGTTCCCGCATTAGCCTGTAAAACTCTAAAAACTCTTGGAAATCAAAAGAGTGAGAAGCTCACGGAATCACAAACAATCGTGCATTGTCTAAGTAGCAACAAGGACGAACGAACAGACACTTGTGGTTCCAATGAGAATAAAGGAGGATAGGATAAATAAACAAATAAAAGGCACATCGTCTGAATGAGGCTGAAGACAAAAGGAAGACATGCTGTGTTATAAGTCAAGATGTCAGTGAGGACGATTATGATTTTTTAAATAAACATTAGATAGATGCATCACTTTTATAAGTATGAAAGCGGAGAGATGCAATTTGGTATTTAATTTGACAGAGAATGCCACAGCAGCATTGTATAGTATGCTTATTATTCAGATCAATTGATAACAGAATTCATTCGGTGACCATACTTTCAAACATTATTAAGTTTCCTAGACAATTGTATAAAGCATCAAATAGATTTTAGTCTATTGCATAGGTATGGTTAAGTTGGAAAGCCAAGAAGGAAAAACTTGACTCCAAAGTACCTGAATCAGTATGAAATCACTCAGAATCACGTAGAATCATCTCGAATCAAACTCAGTTAGTATGGACCTATAGATTTACTTGTTCAGTTTATCGATGTGAAGAGTCATGTGTGTGTTGAAAATGTCTTTTCGTATAAGAAGAGTATGTCTTTATTAATTGACTGCTTTATCAAAATTGGCCAACGCCCTTTCTCTGTATATTTTATGTCTGTACATTGAAAATACGTTGCTAATTAAATTATGAGACAGAGCATGTTTTTTTTTTTTTTTTTGAGTGTGCTTTATTGTGACGTCCGAAGACGCTTACAACCAAAAAAAGGAACGAAAAAAAGGAAACGAATAACAACTATCTAAAGGAGAAAAGGAAAAAAGAAAAAAAGAAAAAAAGGAAAAAAGAAAAAAANTACCGATATAAAAGTTGGAGATTGAGAAGTAAGATGATGGACGGAAGAATGAGCAGATAGTTGAATTGGCACTTGCGCTTTCTGATTTTCTTGCAGCTTTTGCAAACCAAGGTTAAATATGTATTGAAAGTATTCTAATTCTTGTTGGGCGTCGTTAATTTTGATGGGACTAGAAGTCTCCGTAGTTTACACAAACGGCAGCACTGCCGAGTATGTCTTTTGAGAACGAGTATGTGGTATACGAATATTACGTCTTATCACTAACGAAAAAAAAGAGGAATGGCGAAAAAAAAGAGGAATGAGACAGAGCATTGTAACGATGCTGATCTTAGATTGGCATTGATGAGTCTTATAATCATTTATTAGTCTGTTTCTCTGTCCGTCCCTTCGTGTCTTGTTATTTCAATATGTACCTGTTCGTATTTCTGTCGTCTCTCAAATACAAACAAATATCGATTGCTCCAAAATAAATAGTGATCTTACTAATCTGTAAATATTCCTTTTATCTTTCACTACCTACTTGTGAATCTTAGAGAGAGACACCCCGTCGAAGTCTCTATAAGAATTCATGCGAAAGTTTGTTCTCACATGAATAGACGAAGAATTATATGATTTTCAATCGATTTTTCAATATATATCTATATATATATATATATGTATATATCTGCTGACCTATCATTTATCAAAAAGTTTTATAAAAACCAAAGAGAATAAGACCAAAGAGAGGAAAAAAAAAGACAAATAACTTGTCTAAAAGTAAATTCTTATTGAAAATAAAAGCCAATATTGATTTCAATTTGATTTTTTTTTCTTTATACAAATACTGTCAAATATTCGTTTAAATTTCGACTGAGAACGTTTCTCGTGTCGAACTGTTGACGCATTGTTGATGACGATGTTCCATTATCGGTAGCAGCACCGCTGATCGATGACTGAAAGCATAAATATAATCATATAATTAGAATATCCTAAGTTTTATATTAGTTACAAGCAAATATTAGATATATATAAATAAGTTATACAAAAAAAGCAAGAGAATTAGCAACGAGTAGCATCAATAGGACTGAATCGTGCATAATCATAACTAGTAAAGCTGTTGGGTCCTACTTCAACTGTTGTTGATGTTGTTGTTTGTTGTTGACAAGCAGCAACAGTGGTTGTCGAACCTGAGGATGAGGAGGAAGAGGAAGATAATAATAAGTGAATTGATGTGTTTGATAATAATGAATAAGAACAAGAACACACATGATTAATCAAATTAGAATTTAAGCAAGTTAAACAAGCATTAGTATTTTGTTTTAATCTATTGTCTACCTCATGAGATTCAGATATAATATCCATTGCATCTTCAGATATAATTTGATGTCTTAAACCATTTAGACGTCTTTGTTGTTGTTGATTACTATTAACCCATTGTATATCTTCATTAATTGTATCTAATTGTTGAGGATCATTAGTTTCACGTATTGTCGTACGAAATGCACCTATATTTGTTGATATACCATGATCACCTATGCCAGATGAACTGGATGAACTACTTGTTGAACGATTATCATAGGATGATAATAATTCTTCAATAGTTGTATTCACTGGTAGTTCAGTAACTTTATAATGTCCAGATAAAAGACGATTATTTATTGGTGATGATGATGTTTGATCACTACTACTATTTGATGAATCATCATCACGTACACCTAATGTATATGGTGATAAATTACTAATAGGACTTTTTGATTTGAAAAATGATAAACCTTGAGCAGGAGAATGTTTTCGAATTTTAAAAAATGGTGGAACACGATGTTTAGCACGTTGAATACGATAATAAATAATAATAAATAGAATAGCAATTACAATAAGAATAAATGCACCAACACCTCCTATAATAGCATATATTGTGCTATTATCATTACTTGATGAACTCATTGTTGTTGTTAAGATAGATGAAGGAAAATTACGAATAGTAATAATAATATTAGTAGATATATTCATAATTATTAATGAACAATTTTGTTTCACAATAACTTGAAATTGATATGCTTCTTGTGTTGGAAGATTAAATGGATTCGACCATGTTATGTTACCTGTTTGAGAAATGGAAAATAATGAACTTGATTGACCAACAAGAGAATATTGCACTGAACAAAGATTATCAATGGTGACCTTAAATATATCAATGATAGTAAAACTTTAATCAATAAATTTTATACCTGTACACTGCCAATGATAATCGAAGGGTTACTAAGTGAATAATCTGTTGAGAAGAGATAAGAATTCATTGAAAATGAAACTGGAGTATATAGAAGAACAGTAAGATTTGTTTGAGTCGACTAAATATTAAATTTGAATAAACGTATATTCAATAAATATTTACTTCAAAATATACAATAGCTGACATTTCTTCATTTCAGATAGATAAATTATTACTTACATATAATCCATCGGATACATTAAGAGTACATAAACAAGGACGACATGTCGGTGGAGTTTGAAAATAAATTGGTTGAATTTGAAAATCACGAATACTATTCATAAGAATGAATTTTTTCATTAACAAAACTAAAAATTATTCATTTACTTTGTTTTTTTAATATTCAAATTAAGTAATGTTGTATCACATATGTAAACATAATTTAATCTTGGCATCTAAATGAATTTTGAAAATTATATTTTTCTGTATTTAGTCTAATTGCTTTACCGTATCATTATCATTAATACTACCATTAAATATTGGTATTTGATTAAGATTATTTGTTGAATAGCCAGTCATTATATAAGGTAAATTGAGAAAACTTGGCGGATAAATATTTAATTCATATACATTAACATGTAAAATATTTGTGACTGATCGATTTTTATTATCAACTTGTTCAGCCTAATGGAAAAAAAGAAATATTTAAAAAATAAAATAAAATTTTTACTACAATAAAAAAAACAAACTTACTTTAATTAAAAGATCAAATTGCATTGTTAAATTAAAACCTGATTGAAGAGTTAAAACACCTGTACGATTATCAATCGACAAATAAATATCTATAAAAAAAAACTAAGATATCAGGAAGACAAAAAAAAAATCTATTTATCCTTTTACTTGATGTTAATATAGAATAAAATATAGTTGCATTGATACCTAAATCTTGATCAAAAGCAAATATTCTACCTTCATTTGGTGTTACTTGACTACCCTAAGTTAAAAAAAAATAAAATATTTATATTTCCATAAAATGAATAATGATAAAATTCAACATACAACTATTGTAGTAATTGAAATATTAAGATTGTAGGATGCAGATAGAAATGTCGGATTTAAATTATCAACATCAATAATATGTATAGAAATAATTGCTTGAGAAAAAAGAGATGCATTTAAATTATCCTAAATACAAAGATCAAACAAAAAGAGAACAAAGACGAAATTTTTTTTTTTTTGTTCAGTATAAAATTCTTTTACTTTTACAATGATTGTCAAATTAAAATTTGGTATCATTGAATTATAATCTAATGGTTTCATTAGAACTAGATTTGCATTAGTTGAACTTGATAATTGAAAATAAGACTAAAAATAATGAAATAAAAAATTTTTCTTTTTGTTTTATAGTTTTTTCTTTAAACTAATTAACTTACGATATATGATGATGAATTATTTAATAGATAATATGAAAATATTCCGTATATACTAGAATCAAGATCATAAGCAGATATTAATGTTGGTATAATTGTACCAATTGGTGTTATTTCATTTATATTTATTTCATATAAAGATTGATTAAATCTAGGTGGATTATCATTTATATCGATAAGATCAAGTTGAAAATCGATATTATAAATTGATTGATTAGCTAATATTTTACATTCAACAATAAATCGAAATGGATTTGGATTATTAATTGATGTCCACCATTCATAATCAAGAGCTTGAAAGAAAAACAAAAACGAAAGATTTCTTTGTTTTTCTATTAATTGAATGAAAACTTACAATAACGTAAATAAAGATCTGTAAAATTTAATGTAAAATAATCAGTTCCATTTGTTTTTACATCAGGACTATTATAAACAAGTCGAGTAGAAATTTCTGATGATGTACCAGTGATTTGAAGACGAGTAACAAGATCTTCGATTTTGGTATTTTCAGGCATTGTTATTATTTGAAGTGCAGGTAGAAATTGGAGTGTACATAGTTGACCTTAATTAAAAAATTTTCTTTTCTTTATTTTACGAAGCCTATTGAAAGATTTTTTTTTTCTTTAAATAACAATTTTTATTTTCATGAAAGGTGCGTATAGACTTAATTAAAGTATTAAGTCACAACTTTTTATTCTTCTACTCCAATTACCATCAGTCTTCTGTTTGTTGACATATTTTCTCGTTCTTCTTGTTCTTTCACAACAATAATTAATGAATATTAATTAGGTCAACATTCACACATTTAAATGACTGTTCATTCATTTCTTGTCAAAAATAGATCATGTCTAAGTACAAGAAAGACTTTACCTTGTGTCTGTGCCATGACTATCGTTAGAAGTCGGCAAAATAACATGAATATAATTTTGTTCATGATGAGAGTACTCATCGACCAAGATATGAATGATCATCAATCACAATACCAGTCAATCTTAAAGAAAAGAAGAAAAAAAAAAGTTTCAAATTGATCAGTCTTTTGACTTTACTATGTAGCACAATGCATACGATGGATATGTATATAATCATTTTCTTTTGACTATTTCCACTCACTTTTATTCTATTGTTCAAACTCATACGTGCTTATAGTTCAGTCTGCCTGTCTATTGTCTAAATTATGTTCAAGTGATTACGCGCATATACAGGATGCGACTCTTGTCGTTCTCATCAGCAGCACTAGAAGAAAATCGAAATCATTCTTTTTTTTGTTCGTTACTCCGTTGCCTAAAACATACTGCATCGTTTCGAGAATGTTTATACTTCATATATGGATGTCTACGTAATACACCTTTTTTCTTTTTCGCGTAATATGAATTCCTGAAAGGTAATTTATGTAAACATGAATTAGGCAGAAATATTCAAATGGTGACTATTGACTGAAGAAAAAAAAAAAAAAAGAAAAGAGAAAACTTCCAAAGATTCCACAAACAAGATCATCTCTTTAGCCATCATTTAATCAGATGATTAAACAAACAACAACTTACTTCTGAATTGAATTAACTCATATTTATTGTTTGTTCAACTATTTGTCAATGTCAAATCTATTTAACTTTGACATCAACATGTTCAATCAAAATCCATGAGTAGTAGTAAACAGAGAAAAAAATTCGAAAACATACACGTGCCAGTGAAATTTAATGTCTTGAAAGAAAAACGAAAGTGAAAAAGGAAAAAAAAAACTTGTACAATAAAGCAAACAAGAAAAAGAACACTTTTTCTTTTATTCTCACAATTTCCATTGAAGAGGGAGAGAAAGTCGTTACGACAACAAACACATACATAAGTGCAATAGTGTCATCCTCTTCAAAATAGGATCAACCTTGAAAATCTTTTACTTACTTTAATGTTCGATGAAGGATACTGATTTTAAATGACTATCTATTTTATAGAATTTTTTATACTTATGAATAAATGAAAACGTCAAATGATGTCGATAAGAGAAAAATGATTATAGTCTTTTGTCACGTATCTATTTTTACAATGATCAAATCATCGATCTATCCATCTAACGAGAGATAGAGAGAAAAAGAGAAAAATGTGTTGAAAATAGCAAAAATGCGTGAAGAAAACTATAAGAAGTTCAACGATTGAACGTGACAATCAAGCGATTAGAAAGTAAAAGTGAAAATGATCAATGTCGCACGTTTAGTTGACTGTAAAATGCCGTAAACAATTAATTTCTATACATTACTTACCTATCACAGGATGTTTGAATATGAAAAACAACTGATGAAGAAACCTCTCAAGTGTTATGCAAATATACAAATGGCAAAGGTGTCTTGTTTACCGATGAACAAATACGGATGAGGATGATGATCAACCATATTCATTGAAAAGAATACAAAAAAAAAAGTTAAACGGAACATACACCTGATGAAATTGATAAGAACAAAAAATAACTAGCTGACGTAATATAACTCTCTTGTCTTTACTTTTTATATCAAAACTAAACATCTTTCAATTGATCTCATATTGGGTCGATTCATTTTTTGTCGCTACATTGCCATTTTCTACGCTTCATTTAATTTTATTTTTTGTACCTCTCTTATTTTGTGATGATTAAAATTTGATAGAATACGACAATGATAACTACAACTATTAGAAAACATAATTAGTTGTATATATTTATATACTCTCTTCTCTCGTTCTTTCTCATCATTCATTCGAAGATGAACGGTTTATCTCCTTTTTCTGTCTCATTGTCACTATATAGATACATCATTTATAATCAATCTTCAGTCGCTCTGTATCTATATCTTACAAATACATCGTTCGTCGCTCAATAATGTGATTCGCTTGAACAATTCTCTTTTTTTTTTTCAAACGATCGTCTACAAAAGAATATAATCAAATATGCAATAAATTCAATTTTTTTCAATTGATAACTATTTTCGAATTACATCACATCGACTATTCACACCGATACATATAAATATATCTATCTAATGAGCCCAATTGGACAATAAATGTGTATTCTATCAAAAAAAAAAAAAAAAAAAAATCTGCTGTTGCTCAATTAGAGTAATTAGACTGGTCACTTTCTTTTTTCTTGATAAGAAAATGAATCAATTTGTAGGTAAGATCATAACTAGTAACGTTGGTGCAATAATTCGATCATCAGACGCGCTCTACTATCATTTATCAAAAGACTTAGACAAAACCAATTTAGGAAGAAAAATGATCAATGTTACTTAGAAATAATATTGAGTAATCATGAGAGAAACAAGATAAATTTCTATGAGCAAAGAAAAAGCAATCGTATTGTATTGAAGTAAGTGTGAAATTATGTTGAACAAATATGTTTATACATACTGAATGGTGAAATTTTTTTTTCAAGCTAATAAATTTAGTATGCATAAGTTGCGCTGGTAGTGCAGTCTAAATATGTGTATTTTACATATGCTTATTATAAACTTCAATGATTACTCAAAAAAAAAAAATAATATCTGACAATAATCATAAGCATAAATACATACAAGCGGTGGTACTTATTGGTAAAATGAAAGGAGATCGTTGACATCGCCATGGGTAGAATCTTATTTTTCGCGAATGAAAAGCAAGCGACTTTTGCTTTTGTTCGTCGATAAAAGAAAAAAGAAGGAAAGAGAGAAAATTGGTATAATTTGTGTAAATATTGTACATGCACGTATGTATATATATATATGCGTTGTAAAAGAAGAATCAGTCAGATGATGAAATTTTGTATTTCTCTGGTAATAATGAAGGTATATATACCTGTAAAGCAAATTTTTCTTTTTCTCTCTCTCTCTCTCTCATTTCTTCTCATCATCGAAGTGTCAATTGAGATTTAGTTTAGCGTCATTGCTTTTACTTACTATAAGGTTGCATCATCATTTATATTACCAACATTATATGTATGCTTTGTCGCCTTAAGTCCATTTGAATTAGAAGGAAGTTCAAGGCTCGTTTGCATAAGCTTCTAAGTTAATGAAAAATATAGCAAAGAAAACGAAAGATAAAAATAAACAGATATTGCAATGAAGCATATTATATATCAGTCAACAAGTAAACGATGATCGAATTTGTCAAGCATATGAACAACAAAAACATATCTTTTTCGTTATTTTATCTTTTGCTCATCATTACTCGTTTGTTTTCAATTAAAAATAAAGAAGACAACAAAAAGATGAACATCACTAAATTATATAGAAAACTCATTGGCGATTGTAAGATATCATCTTCATGCATTTCATTTGTATTATGATATTTAATAGACAAAGAAGAATACATATTTATAATAGGTCAACATTATCCAAGTTTTTTAAAAATTTTTCAAATATGAATTACACTGACATTCGTTATTGTTTGATATAAGAAAACAATGAAAATGTATATAGAAGAATTGCATCATATATGACAAAGCAACTTTAATCTTCGCAAACTAGTAATGCATCTTTTTATGATTTCTTTTTATTTTTAATTCAGTTGCATTAGCATTATTCAATTGATCTTATACAAACTGACATTCAACGTATAATTGAATCTTCTAAAAAATAAAGAATGAGAAAAATTGAAATAAGCAAAACATTTCAAGAGCACTTTGTAGTGCTACACATATCATTTGTTTATCATATTATTTTTTTGCTGATTCTTCAGGTAATTAAGCTGAATTATCATAAAGTAGTAATGAAAATTTATCATGAGGTGATGACGAATTAGTAATTAATGATAAGACAATTAGAGAAGTTTTAAAAAACTTACTAAAATAAATAGAACAGAAAAAAATTGAATTCATATAATATCAAATCATTCACTTTGACGACAATGTGATTGGTTTCATGAACATCATTATATCAACTTACGTTTTTGATTACGAGCAAGAAAGTCACGAACTGATCAAATACGCATAATGTAATCAATAGAAAATTAATAAAAGCTTTTTAATATGTTAAAAATGTCGTAAAACAAATCTTCATGAACGATAAATTTCATTCGTGGATCATACAGAACAAATCTTACACGGTAGTACAAAGTGATCAGTAACTTTTATCAATGAAAGAAAAGATATAACTACAAACCAGAACTGAAAGCACATTTCATATTTTATCAATGACTTGCGATCGGAGACTTCATTTAATTATATTGATTCTAAATGTATCATAACAATACAAAAAGATTTTTCACAAACGAATTCTGATTGCATATCATTCTACAAACAGTTTGGTAGTCGCTCATCTTTACTTAACTATATGACCTGAGTCATCTAGTTATGTTGGATTTCGTTATTTATCAAAAACTATGAACAATATTCAAATAAATCATATAAAATTGATCTATAGAAAATTCTGGATGGAAAACATCAACATTTATAACAGTATATCGAAAAGTAATTTGACAAAATGTTCGTTTATTTTTCAATCTCTTCCAAAAAAGCTTGCAGAAAAGTGAAAACATTGAGTGAAAATCAGAATTTGTGTTCTTTTCGAATATGGCTTCAAATATTTGTTGTAGGTTTTCTTGTTTAAAAGTTATGAACAAACATTTTCAATATCCATAAATTGAATTTAGACAAGTTTCAGTGTGCTAAAATTTATCCAAAGTAGTAGCGAAAGTAATTTCATATACAACGAATGATAGAGCGAACATTTCTCTATGAAATACTATACTAATGATTAACTAGCTGCAAGTTCACTTGCCAATAGTGAGTATTTTGGTAAGAGAAACCGTTTCAATTTTTTCGATTTCTATGAAAAATAGACTTACAAAGTGCGCTCGGTCATACTTGAATGATTGATATGAAGCTCTTAATTGCTATATCACTTTGTAGAGAACAATAAGGCTTTAAATTCTATGAAAAATAATCGTTAATATTATGTATGCAGTAATTGAGATTATTGCTACAAAGTGTTCACATTTAACTTTCATGCTTCTAAAAGATAGACTTATAACTCATAAATTAGAAGTCCTACAGAAATATTAAACCCATATTCGGCAACAATACAATATTTTGATAACTGACTCAATGTTTTCAAATGTTTGCAGAGGCTAAAAAAAAGAATGTATTTTTTTTGTCAAATGACCATGTCAATAACCTGTTACATAACAACAATAAAATTTCATACATGAAATAAATAGAAAAAATTATAACAATTGAGCAAAAAAAGGTATATGAATAATTAAAACTTCATATTTCAAAGTAAACCATAATAGCAACAACCTGGAAAGTTACATTATATTGTATTATTTGTTTTTTGCTTTCTCCAATGTTATCATAATCATTCAGTATTTGTATGACAAAGATTCCATATGCCATCGTACTTAATTCTTGATCAATATATAATCAAAACGTAAATTTTTCTCTAGAATAAGCTATATTTATTAACTAACTGGCTCTACTATGGACATCACATCGTATAGAAATATTTGATAAAATAAATATANTTTCTCTTTTCTCTTGTATTTTTCGATGTTTGCTGTTAAATAAGTCTAGTTTAGTATAAATATTTGGTTTTGTAATACGAATCGGTATTTTTTTGGTTTATCTTTTATTTTCATTATTATTTGCCTAAGCTATCAACGAGAAAAAAAAACACTTCTTGATAAATTTTTAAAAAAACGAATATCTATTATTCTTGTCATTGAAAGAAAAGAAAAATACAAGAGAAAAGAGAAAGAAAAATATGTTGATAATTGTAAAAATATAGTAGATGCAGCATTGCATCATTTTTTAAAATTATTTATTGATAGAATAGATTGGGTTTTTGAAAAACTTCCTCTTCTCTCTTCACATGCTATTGACAGAGAAAATTTTAAATCATTTCTCGTCAGACTATTTTAATGATAAAAAATAAGTCTAATATTTTTTACCACTTTTACTTTTAATGATTGTTATAATTAGAGGAAACCGCAAGTAAGTACAATGACCATTGTATGCATTAGAAAGAAGCGGAGGAGGAGAAGAAGAAGAAGAAGAAAGAATGAGAGAAGCCACTCTCTTTCTTTAACCGTATATCGTCCTGTACGTTCGTCTTTCATTTCAAGTGCGAAAGAAAAGTTGTAAATCTTAATGGAATATAGAGTTCGAAAAAGTAAAAATTCTTTATCAACTGCCATTTCAAATGCACACAACTTGTATAACCACATCATCACTCATTTTCGTTTTTCTTTCTCTCTCGTAATGCGCAGATGCTGTGTGCATCAAACTCATATTTATTCTTTTCAATGTTCATTGTTCTTTTGCTATCATACACAAACACACTTGTTCCAGACAACCTGTCGATTAGGGCGTTGACACATTTTATAGATTCATTTCTTCGGTTACAAGCATACATCTCTGTTTTTCTTTGTTATGCCACCGCAAGCCACAATTTGCTGTGTCTTTCATGGTCACCATATTGTGTGAATAATAATGACAAACGTACGCACATACAATTTTTTTATTGAAGATGAAAATTTTGTTTTATTTAGCAATCTCATTTTCTTTCTCTCTTTCTTCTCAATCTCATACTTTTTGTCTTTCATTATTTTTAAAACATATTTAAATTCACTTCTTTTCATTGCTCTGTTTTTTTTTCACACCATAAGTTTCAATGTATGACAATGTTGATAGTAAAAAGAAAATAACAAAAAAGAAACAGTTTCGATCCGTTTTCTTTTTCTCTTCAATTATTTTGTTTTATTTATGTATAGAAAAAAAAACGAAAGTGAACGAAAGAAGAAAACTTACAACAGGTTCCCTAAGGGAAGTTTTCGAATGAGAATTAGACATTCACCAGTGTACAGATATTTGTGTGTGAAGAAATAAAACGAGAAATATAAACACTGTAGGAGACATGTACTCCTCCCGACGTAATGGTCAAATTACTGATTTACCAAATAACCATACGAGTTCGAGAATGACGACATCGGTATTGTCGTCACGTCATCCACATCACTCGAATCGTTATACAACACGATCAAAAACGAGTTTGAATGGAACATATCCATCTCGTATGCCTAGCGCTGATAAGGTTCGTATAAAGAAATTTTTGATCTAGCTATAAGAAACAAAAAAAAGTTCTAAAGAAAACTTTGAAATTTGATTTAGTCTTGTTCTTTTTTGTTTCTAATATTAAAGTTTGTTTGGTGATTTGCAGGTTGAAAATCGTGATCGTGAAATTGAACGACTTCATCGTGTACTTGATGGTGGTCGTTCCGCTGATGCACTTTCACTTGAATCAAGATTAAGAAGTAATGAGAAGGTCATTGCTAATCAAAATGCACAAGTAAATCAATGTCTTTGTTCTTTTTATTTTATTAAATTTTTCTTTTTTTCGTTTATATAATAATTTAGATTGACTTTCTCCATGAAAGAAATCGTGTATTAGAACAACGTGTTCAAGAATTAACAGAACTTAAACGTAATTTAACAGACAAACAATTCGAAGAACGTCTTAAAAATAATGATCTTCTTCGAGATCTTAAGGATTTTGATCGCCTTGCACGAAAAGTTAAAGCCGATAAAGATTATACTGTTGAAGCAGCTGATCGAGAATTAACTGAAGCTAAAGTAAAAAATATTTTTTTAAATTAATTTGTTTATTAATTTATTTACGTTTTCTTTTCTTTTCTTTTTAAGATTGAAATTCAACATAATCTTCGAGAAATGCAATCACTCGATGCTAGAGTTGCCTGCTTAACTTCCGTACGTATTTCTATGAAATTAAATAATTAATTTTTATTTTCATTTCTTACATCCAGTTCTTCATTAGTTTACATTCTTAAAATTGAACTTGAACACTTTTTATAATCACCCAATTGACAGAGAGTATCATTAAATTTTGTTTACTGAAGGCTTAAAAAGTAACTAGAATAAAGTCGGAAATAGTCAATCAAATATGATAATATCAAACAACTAAACATAGTTGTATACAGATGAAACAGAATGACTTCAAGGACATGTAAATACTCATCTGATGATATATTTTTTTTGAGTCATGTTTCAAAACAAAACTACGAAATGTATAAAAAAAAACAAATAGTGTTTAAGTACTTTTTTTTTCTTGTTGTTAAATATTTTCTATAAATTTCATGATTTTGCTAATTTTAACAGCTCGTAGAACTTGTACCTCATTCAAACGTCATGACATTCGTGTAAGAAACCAACAAAAAGTCAATATCTCAAACTTTTCTTTTATAGCGAAGCCTTGTTCAAATAAAATCAGAATTAAATTTTTCTAAACCCCCCACCGAATAGTATCCAACTGGGCTTCTAATTTGTTTCGCAAGTTAAAAGTTTGGAGGTGGGCTTTTTCTGTTTTACAGTAATAATTTGTTTTGCTTACTAGTGTAGAAGTGTACAAGATTCGATAAATTATAGTTTTCAAACTGTCTGAAAACTTTGATAGTTGCTGATGAACAATAAATTGACTTCACTATTCTTCTCATTCACACATTCATTTGCCATCAACATTTCATGGATCCTAATATTAATACATTAAACTAATCATATTACGATACCTTGTTTTGAAAAACTATCGAACTTTGAAAGAAAGGAGGTAAAAGATACGACTCTGCCAAGCAATGCCATCTTAGAAGTTAATTTAAAGTTAAAAAATGCAAGGAAACATATTTCAATTGTTTTGAAAGAAGTAAAAAATAAACGTTCTACTATCAAATGAAAACTTCTCATGTTTATGAAATAAATAGTTCAGAGCTTTCGAGTATTTCAAGAATGAATATCGTACTCATTGCATATCGGCACTGTTTTTTGATTCCGATAAACTCCAGTGTAATTTCAACTGACCATCATTCAGTTTTGTGATTTGTCTCATATTTCAATTAAAGATTTGTACATACTTCTGTTAACTTAATAAAGACTTATATCGTTCTATTTCTAGACTGTGTATAATTCCATAACAGAATAGTATTAAAGCATTCTTATATCTTTTTTGCCAGTTTCAGGACAGCTGTCTCTCATTAGTGTCCATGCGTACACTTTTTTTTTCGGCTCACAAAAAAAACTCGTTTGTTTGTTAATAGAAAACATTTAGAACAAACGAAATTGGATACATCAAAGGAGTTACAACTAAACAGCAATAAACTAATCTATTTGATGATTTACATTACTATTTTGTGCTCGTTCGAATAGGGTGAACTTATTTAGATTTCAAAGATCTTAACCTTGAGATTGGGCTTCTACTATAGGATGAGATTACTTTTTTAAAAAGTCTCAATTTAACCTTTTTAGATATGAGATTTGTTATTAATTTTAAAATGCATATTATTTTCTTATATTTGAAAAGGAGAAAAAAGATTTAATCGAAGAATTTCAAACACTGAAGAACCAATATGCTGAACGTGAAAATGAAGTTTTTCGTTTACAAGAACTTCTTGAACGTATGCAATCTGACAAAACAAAATTAAGTCGACGAGTTTCAAAATTTGTTCTGAATGGTAAAAGAAAAAACAAAACAAGAATCATATGTTATGTTTCTATATTTAATCTTTGTTGTTTTGTTTCTATAGAAAAAGATCTTTTACAAGAATTACAAAAATGTCGTCGTACAACAAAAGCTCCAACACCAACAGCATCTGGTGCTTCATCAACGAAAAAACTTTCTCTTCCTGCTCGACTTGATATTCATTTAAAAAATGTTGAAGATGAACGTGATATGTATAAAAATGAAACAGAAATTTTACAAAAATTACTTAATGAACGTTTACTTGGAAAATCATCATCATCATCGCCATCCACCGCACGTTTACGTGGTCGTTCATTATCACCAACACCTGGTATGCGTTCAACAGTTCGTCGGGATATGGCCACATCACCTGTTATACAACTTAGTAAACGATTAGCAAGTAATTCAAGTGCATCACCAACACGTTGTACTGTATGTGGAATTAATCGAAATCGATTATCACCAACAAGGGTAATAAAAAATATATTTATAACTTTTTTTTTTCATTGAATTCTTTTTTTTTAAAGGACTTTACTTCATATGAAACTCAATTAAGAAATCTTGAAGAAGAACGTGATCGCTTGCGAAGAGAACTTAGTAAATATAAACGATCATCAAGAGACAAAGTAAGTTTTATAATAAGCAAATGATCTTGTCTATAGTGGTGTAACCAGAAATAAACTTGCTAGTGAAGGTATTTTGAGGCTGAAATATAGAATTCACATGTACTGTTTAGTTCCATTTATACTAATATAATTGTTTTTTTTCGCCGACAAACAGTTACTAGAGAAACGATCTCTCTTATTTATTTCTGCATTTCGTACAGAAATTTTTCTACTGGCGATCTAGTTTTGATTCATCTGGTTGTTATCCTCTCATTGTTTTTTATTTTCGTATTCCATATTTCTTAGTTTTACATTATTATTATTCTGACGAACGTGAAAACAAGAAGGTATTTTAGAAATCTGTGGTAAAAGAAACCATTTGAAGATTTTGCATAACAGTTCATCGAATTGACATTATAGTTTTATAAATTTCACTTCAGTTGATTCAAGTTTTGTTTAATATATTCTAAATAAACTATCTATACTTATTACTACTGAGATAAAGTTAATATTTATACAATTAGCTGTCACCCATCAGCGGTTGATGACCGAACATTACAAATCAAATTCATCAAAACAGACTGTAGGACTTTTAGAACAATGTCTACTCATCACGTTATCAGCATAAAAAAAGAATTATAGAATTTACCTGTTAACAACATTGATATCTGATTACTTTATGATAAAATAGATCTACAATATTTTTCCATAATCGTAGATAATTCTGATTTGTATCAATAATAAATTATTTTTCATCTTAATAATGGTACGTATAGTTTTTAAAACTCTACAGAATTTAAGATCAATGTACAAAAATAGTGTTTACATTGCTGAAACTTTTCAAAATATCTTTAGATTTGATTTTTTTTCGACGATATTTTCGGATACTTTGTGTAATTTCATAGATATCTACAAATTAATATCGTTTTTTTGATGCTACACATCAAAAAGAGTATTTCTAATCTTTGTAGTACATAGAATTTCTTAAATATAATTCTTTTCCAACAATACTATCGAATAGCATGATTTGATAATGTCAATTTTTTTTTTATAGGACATAGATGAACCTCAATTAGCTAAAGTTATACGAGAAAAAGAAGACTTACAATTATTATTAAATAAATTTGAACGTCATATGGCAGAAGTATGAAAAATAAAACTTAGATTTAATTTGATTTGATTTTTCTATTTTTACTAATTTAGATTCAAGGTAATATAAAAGTTCTTACCAATGAACGAGATAATTTAAATGTTCTCTATGAACAAGTTAGTTCATAAATTTTCTTATTTACAAAAGAATAAAAATTTTATTTTAGACAAAAGAAGAATTACAAAAAGCTCGTCATGATCTTCTTCAAAATGCTCAAACACCTAAAGTTTCTCTTGCTGCTCAATCAATTTTACGTAAAGTTGAAAATGAACGTGATGCTGGTTAATTCTATTGTTAATTAAATTTCCTCATATAATTTTTTCTTTTTTTTTCTTTTTATCAGCAATTGTCGAAGCACGTACCACAACAAATGAACGTGATTCATTACGAGAACGTTTAAGAGTAGGATAATTGAAAAGTTTAGTATTTTTTTAGTTTATTTTATTTATTCATTTTTCAGATTGCAACAGACACTGGATTAAATGAACGTGCACGATATGAACAACGTATTGAAGATCTTCAAATTGAAATACGAAAAGTAAATTTTTTTATTTAATTTTGTGAAATACGATCTAAAATCAGTACTGAAGTATAGAAGCAAAAAATTTGGATCCCCTCTCGTAAATTATGACAGATGTACAGCATCTACGCATGGGGACAATATTTTGGTGATAGAATTTTTTTTTGAAAATGAAAAATTAGAGAAAAAATTATTCTTTTGTAAAAATAAAAACATGAAGTTCTTACACAGGTTGTGTGATTTATTTGACAATAGAGAATAATCCAATTGTTTTTGTTACTGTTCAATACATGTCTCTCGCAACGTGCTTATATTCGGATTCATTTGTGCTAAAACTTTTCCAAAATGAATAATTTTCAAGACTACCACAATTACTTGATGAGTGATAAAACTGAATTGTTTATTTTTATATGTAAAGTTTTTTTGAGTATAATTGTTTTGTTCCTTTAAATTTACGTATGTTAACAATAAAGCGATTTCGTTTACTTTGATAGCGAGGAACATTTTTGAAGGATTTTTCTTCGTAGGAGGAACCTTTTTTTATGTTAGAGGCAGATTCTACACTTCTGGGCATCATCATAGAAAGATCACAGCTCGTAGCAGATACTCTAGCCACATTCCCACCACGCCATGTCATAGATTATGACAGACACTTTAGCAACACTCCCCCACGCTACATCATAGATCGTGCCCAACCTTATTAATATATGATCAAAGATCATAAATGAATAACATCTCGTTATAATAAATGAACTACTTACTTACTGCATTTCTAAAGCATTAAATAAAATAATAGTGAAGATATGTGTTTAAAAATGGAGAGAATAAAATAATCTTAGTGTAGTGTGATTCATAAAAGCAATTACGTCATGTTTTACATTTTAATCCTGTAAGCGATTGCATAATAGTTTTGTTTTCAATTCAAATTACATTTTTATTATTTTTAAGCTTGATAACGATCGTGAAGAAATTCTTCAACAAAATCATTTGTTACGTGAAGAAATGAAAAATTTTGAAAGTAAACTTGATGAACAATCATTTACAATTTCACAATTAAATCAAGAATTAAATGATCAAAAAACAACATCATCACAACTAAGATATTTATCTGAAGAAGCTGAACGTCTTGTACAAGAAAATCAACGACAATTAAATTTAAAAAAAGAAGAACTTCGAGCACAAGAGGATAAAGCATTAAGATTTGAAAAGAAGCTTTGTATATGTTCAAAACTTTACTTAAATTTTAAATTATAAATAATCTTTTCTTTTTTTGTGTTTTATCTAGATGAATTACAAGAAGCAAATAAAGGTATTAAAGATGATTTTCATGTTGTTCGCACAACAGTCCAAACACTTGACAAAGAAAAAGATCGTTTGTGTGGTGAACTTGATCTAAAAGCAGAAGAAAATTTACACTTAATACAAGAAATTAATTCCAAAACACGCCGTATTGAAGAACTTAATATGATGGTGTCTGAATTAGAAGCTGCACTAGAGTAAATTTAACTTAAAAATAAAAGAAAAAATATTTTAATTAAATTAATTTTTATTTATTTTAGTCGTTCAAAAGATGATACAAAACAAAAATTAAAAGAAATAACAAGTATGAGAATGCAACTTGATCGAAATCTTGAAGAATTAAATGAATATCGACGTAAACTTGATCTCAATGCACGAGATAATAAACGTTTACAAGATGATCTTTTAACTGTTACACGTGAAAATCAAGTAGGAATTGAAATTTTCAAAAAATCTTAATCTTGTTTATAATTATATCATAATTTCTTTTTTCGAGATTATCACTGTCGAACAGTGTACGAAACTAAAACGAGCAAATGATTAAATTTTTTAATATTTTTATTCTCGTTGAAGTGTGAAATTTCTAACTAATATGTTCAATAATAATATTGAAACTAGAGAAAGCGACAAATGGATACTATGAGATTTTGTCGCAGCATAGACTTGGGTTGCATTTTTGGTAGAAACGTGGTTCCTTTTACAATTTCCACAAATCTCAATTTCTAGACATTTGATTCAATCATACATAGCATAGTGCGAAAGTAAGGATAAACATGTAAAAAATGGAGATGAGTCCTATGGAATAAATAAGTAGATGATCTCATCGATAAACTGTAACTGAATTCTGTCATTCACTTTTTAAATTTATTTGAAAGGTCACGAAAAGATGAAAACTATATTCATTGCGGAACAGTAAAAATCACAGCAGACAAAAGTCTTAAAATAAAAATAAACCTATATGAATTATGGAAACATTTTTAAAGCAGCTNGTTATAGACATTTTACTGGAATTTTAGCCTAAGGGATGGTATATCCCAACAAATCGAATGCTGGTATTTCAACTTGAGATTTTGCCCACAGACAGGTCTATTTGTAAGTAAGATTCCCTAAAAATTTCAGCTCAAAGCAATGTTTCTTTCCCGAGATATAAAAGTCCCAAAAATCACTCATATCCCACGAAGAATGCTAGAATTTTCCGTTTTTTGGGACTTTTATATCTCGGGAAAGAAATATTGTTTTGAGCTGAAATTTTTAGGGAATCTTACTCACAAATAGACCTGTCTGTGGACAAAACTTAAGTTGAAATACCATCATTCGATTTGCTGGTATATATCATCCCTGAAGGCTAAAATTCCAGTAAAATATCTATAGCTCTGGACAGAAGGCATAAGGGCACTTATGCTTTCGGAGTTATTCATATCTCATCAAGGTCTATCTATCGCCAAAAGATGGGATCTAAACGGCTTGAACACCTAAATATGTTTCCTCGTGAGTTGTGATAATTTGTTGTTCATATCACAAGAAATACACACATCACATTGAACTGGACCAGAATGATCATCAACGTCCTTGTATATGAAATCTACAATGAAACCATTCTGATCTCGATTTCGTAATTTCATATGAAAATCATAGATTTTATATTTTTGTTCAATAATACATAATACTTGTTGAAGACAGTTTTGGCTTAATCGTCGATCAATTAATTGTTTCAATAGCAATGGACATTGAAAAGAATAGTCAAGTTTGGTTGAATATGGAATCAACTCAGCGAAATTCTTTGTATCATCATTGTTTGTCCACTGCTGATTTGTAATTAATAGTTTTGATAACTGATCACTCAAATGATCTTTTTCATCCGTCATAGTTCTTTTTCTGAATTTAAACACCAAATATAATTCTGGATAAGATCGACAAGAACCGCTGCAATAATGTTCAAGAATTGCAGAAAGAATGAGGATATGGATGTATCTATGAGATAGCGAGGCACTACACCTTATAGCCACATTTTTAAGATAAAGTTCAAAAGAGATTACACATATATAAGATTTGTCTAGTAGTATGGTATCGATCATCTCGAGTTGAACTCAGTTACTCGATCGATTATACCAATTTATAAAACGTTGCTAGTCTCTGGGATGACTGAAATTGAGATAAGATCGTGACAAAAGCAAAAAAAACATAAAATCAATTTGAAAATTTCAATAGAGTCTGCTTTATTGCAGTTTTCTCTTACCTGCTATTTGAAAATAATGATGAATATTCGATCATGGTAAAATTCGTCAACGACATTAATTCTATCTCTCTCTCTCAGTTCAGCTTGACTCATCACACTGAAGCAACTAGCTCTATCGATCGGAGAAGATGAGTGAGAGATTATCGAGAGTTACATCACTTTGTGCTTTGCTATCTTGAAGTCTGATCGCCATCGCATCGCGTCCTTTTTTTCCTCCGAATTTCATTTTTGATACATTTAAAATAGGGTGATTGATGAGAAGACTTGCTCACAATCTTTACTTTTCTTCGTTTACAAATTTCAGACAATAATTTCTTAAACTTAACTAGTCGCAACAATTCTTTGATAGATTGATACAATGGTATACCATTCTAGAATTTCGATTCCTTCTTGATGTCATAAATCATGAATGTCCATTACTCAAGACTCCAATTTTGCTCATAGGTAAAGTACATCACAGTGTCGATAAAACCCTACAAAGATTCATGTCATTCTCATGTTGCTCCGAAGAAACAAACGTAACAAGTTTCTGTAGAAATTATTTTACTGTGTTTGATTAATTTTTTGTTCTTTTCATATCTGAATGAAGGAACATTTTCCTGAGCTGCAACTTTTTTTGGCAAACACATCTGACATATGATTACATTGTCGTAGAAATATCAGTCACATTTGAGTTGATGTTCTACAGATGGAGAAGACAAATTCTTATGATCACTTCTTCTATTATTGTTGATACTGTGACATAAATCTGAATTAGAACAGTAGTATATCCAGAATTCTCTTTCTGTTCCCTATAGATTTCTTTTTAATTTTCTGATTCAATAAAAAAACGCAATAGCTAGCAATCTCCACCTTTGGTTATCATTCGTTCTTACTGAACACAAAATCAACTAGACAATAAATCCTATATTCCACATTAGACAAATCAGATATGACTGATAATTCTACAGCAAGTAATCATATATTAGATGGTTTTATAAACAAAATTTCAATTTATGAAAATATTTCATTATTCACATATGAAAAAGATAAAATTACTCGAAAACACCGTAAAACTTGTTACCCTTGTTTCTTCAAAACAAAACGGCAGTGGCACGAATCATTTTAGGATTTTTATCAATACTATGAACCCTAACTATGAGCAAAATATGAGCTGAAATAGAAGCTATCAGTTAAATGAGTTCTCTCGTAAGATAATAACTTGGGTTTTAATCTGTAAAGAGTATGTATATCATTGATCTAAAAGAAATTAAAAAAGGGCAGACCATTTCTCTTTCAACTAAAGCAAGATTGTCGAATTCGATTAAGAATTGACGGAACTTTATTGATATTATTTTTAATGAACAACTTGCGGGACATTCTTCCTACTTATTGGGAATAAAAGCAAAGTGAAATGCAGAGCAAAAAATATGCATATCGTACTAAAAATACATGAGATATAAAATGAAAAGAATATCGTAGTCATTTAAAAAAAATATGATGTTCTATTATAATTCATATTTGACTTCTGCTGGTGATTTCAAATTGATATAAATATCATTTTTCGATGTACCAATAACACGAACAGCCTAAATACATAGTAAGAAGTTTTCAACTAGCAAAAAAAGTTAGTTAAATCTTACCATGTATGTTAATAAAGATTCTACATTGAATCGCATCTTATTTTTCAATTCTGCATAAGTTTCTAAAAAAATATCAACATCATAGATAACAAGAAAAAATGAAGCGTTTAATGATAGAACCTGTTTCGGTGGAATATCGTGCTCGAATAGCTTGTGCTTCAGCATCAGCTCTTTTAAAAACTAATAGGAATTTTTTTGAATAAGAAAAATTCTTACTGATTTCGAATAATTGCACTGTCAGTATCAGCACGCTCTTGGATAATTTGAGCTTGTTTTAATGCTTTTTGATATTCAGTACGACCTTGTGTTAATAATTTCGGTCGTTCATTTTCAGCAATCTAATATGAATGTCACGTTCGTTAACAAAACAACAAGGAATTCAATATATGAACTAACTTTGATATTTTCTTTTGCTGCTTCTTTATCTTTGACAGCTGTTTCAAAATCTGAAGGTCGACGAACATCATTGACCTATTAAAGAACCATCAATTTAACTAAAATTTCATCCAGCAAAAATTTTACTTGTAAATCTCGAAGAATAGCATAGAATGGACTTAATGACTCTTTCATTTCCTAATCAAATATTGATAAGCATATGATTTCTTTTTAATAAATAAACAAATGATTCTTACAGCCAGTAATTTAACTTGAAAAAAACCTCTCATACTTTGAAAGGCAGTTGTATTAAAGCTAAAAAAACATAAAATCAGTTGTAGTTTTAAGTTAATTGAAATGAATAAAACAAGAGAATTTCAATATTGACTCAAGATTAAACATTAACGGTAATTTAGATGTCATATTCAACTTTCAATATCCTATGCAAAACGATCAAAGTACAATAAATTTTTGTTTCTCGAAGAGCTAGAAACTATTTCATTGATCTCTATGTGCATAAGGTCTATTGACAAATGTATCAATAATTTTCCTCGATGATTGATACTAACTGCGCACATGTATCATGAACAGCTCCCTGTCCTGTTGCAGCAAGAATCCTCTTATATCCAGAAAAATCTTTGAATTGCACAACAATATCATATAAATAAATTGGATCTGCTCGAAATTGAAATGTTACATCCAAACTAATTGAAACGCCATCTTGATTAAGACACTAAATTAAAACCTACTATTCAATAATAATAAAATTTAATAACAAACTGATATATCATCAAACTCCATTGAAGTAAAAACACTTGGAAAAGTAATTAATGTAAAACCGGGTGAACCAAAATGTAAACCAGCTGATTTCACTTCTCGACGAAGATGCTTGGTAAGTGTATTGTATGGAATAGCAACTTAAAAAAAGAAACCAAAATAAAATTTTTTAAATAAAAATATTTAACATTAACTTTCATCCGTATTGAGTCGACTGACACAAGAAATAAAAAGTGACAAGATCGTAATCAATGCTAAGCCAACGCCAACAGCAATGAGAACATGTAATGGTTGTGCCATATTGAAAAAGAAAAAAAATTCGTTCTAAAACCAAACGAACAGTCAAACGTGTGTTATTCAATATTAAAAAAAGAATATTTTTTATGTTGAATAAAGAAACAAATATGTACCTAAATAAGCAATTAGAACGTTATTATTTATTTCAAAAAAAAACATGATTTATTCTTATTGAATATGTCTGATAGATATATATGTACTTGTTCGATCTATGTTACGATTTTAAATAATGCTCAACATAAATAAAAATTAAAAACAAATATAAATATTTGATTTTACTTAATCATGTAATATTTCTCATTTATAATAAACATATTATTCCTTTTTGAAACTTGTTTAATTACTTATTAAATTTTTCAGCTATTGATAAAATACATTCTATTGAATTAACAACTATTGTTTCTATGCAAATCTATTTTGGTTTCAATCTGATATAGTCGATCACAAATTTTTCTGTTTAAATTCTTCTCAGTTTTTATATAATGAGAATTGAATACATCAAATAGTTGAAGTTGTATTTTTTTTCGGCATTTCTTACTAGACCGTTATATTATAATTTCCAATTTTCATGATTGTTATATTTTATGAAAAGTCTTCACTAAACTCAAGCTCTGATTTGTACAGTTGATTAAATATCATACATAACCGATGTGAAAATAAAGCCCTCATTGATGAATACGTTTCTCCATGAATGACTGTATCTAAAACGACAACACCTCAAGAATACTCATGTTATCCGACGCCACAATATGATTTGTCAAGTGGCGTCACAATTTTCTCTATTGGTTACGTCTTATAACTAATGAATATTTTTTTATGGCACCATCTTTTCTTTCAATAAATAATAAAACACGAATACGAATCGAAAATAGTTGACGTGGTGACTATTAGTGAGCGACCAATAAAATAAGTACATTGATCATTGAATGATACATTCATATTAATAATAATTAAATCTAAACATTTTAGAAAAATATGAAATTTAAGAAATCGTTGCCTTTTTTTCCTTTTTTTTAAATAGATCATTATTAATCCTTTGACTATTAGTGTCTTCAAAGAGTGCTTGTTTAGAATTTCTTTATTTTTCAAATCACTACTGAGCACGACATAATATTGCGATGTAGTTGTCTTTATGACATAGGAGGCATTTTGATACAAAAATCCAGGTAAAATCATAACGCTATTAAGGTTAATCGAGCAGTTTTATGTATCATCATATTCGAAAATTGAGTTGATTCTAATTTTACATATCTTGACCCTTTTTTTATTGATCACCACGATTAAAATAGACGTTACTTTTTTTTAAAAATCAAACAGAAAGAAAAATCTACTCTTAGAAACGAAGATCTGATTTGATACACCAAATAACAAGAAGTCGTATTTTTTTGCAACTATTAACAATTAGAAAATGTGTGCTGCTTGTCTTCAGATGCCACACGAGCGGGAGGATGTAGAGGGATGTCACCCCCCAATAATCGAAAATTTTCAATTTTTTTCAGCGAAAGGTGCACAGTTTTTCCTACATATCACACTATCTCTACAGAATTTTTTCGAACGTACTCTTTCACACTCCGCCCCCTCCCCCCACCAATTTTCGATCCTTTGCGTGGGACCTGATTGTCTCTCGTACAAGTACATGTTCATATAAGATTGTTAATCATTGATCTCATTATACAAGAGCTTTCGGTATGAATTCTAGAGAAGATTGTTTCTATAATGATCATTGTAATCATTATTTCTTCTGTACATTTGATTCTATGAATGCAACTAACATCTTTGTATATTCTTTTATTTTAATGAAATTTTAATCAATTTATCGATCTTTTCGAAAAACAATTTTATAATTATTAAGATATTAAATTTTTTATCAAACTTATTCTATCTTCATTAGTCTCTCGATTTAAATAAATAACCAAATCTCTATTAAAAAACAAATTGCAAATACAAAACAATGCTTACTATCCATCAGCATTCAGATCTTCAGGATTAAGTAATAAATTTCAATAATAATTCATGCTCAACATATATCTCTTGCTCGCTATAAACTCCAAACTGGAATTCAAATTCAAATCAATTACTGTCACCTAGAATTTTTAATATAATTCGATCACAAATATCGTTATTAATGAAAATAATTAAAATTAAAATTTTATTTGAAGAATATATACACGAAACAATTTTATTGCTTGTTTAAAAATATATTTCATTTTATACATAGAGAAAAAGAAAAAAGATATAGACATATAAACAATATATACGGATCAGTTCATTAACAATAATAAAAACTAAAAAACTAAAAATAACTGGAGATTTACCATTCATCTTACAGAATATTCTGCTATGTGCAATGTTCATCATATTTACTGTTTCTATTGCTCTCGTTTATTTACTTAATTGATTGCTTATCAATTATTCTGTTTTTTGTTGTACTGGCTTAACCAATAACACCACAGGTGTACGATTTAAAAATAAATCAATATTTTGACCAATTTGTATTTTTTTTTCCATTAATATTGTTTTTATATGTGTATTAGCAACTGTTTGTCTTATGTATGCATGTTTAGCAGATAATAATGCAAATAAATCATCACTATGTACTTGAGATAAAAATTTGCCATGTTCTTGAATAACTTTAATAATATCTGTTTCTTGTATAACACAAAAATTCATTTCAACATCTTCATGTGAATCAACTACAGATAATGCAATAAGTAATTGCGCAGCATAATATGTTGTCATAACAAGAATTTGAGAATGTGCTAATGGAGTTACAAAACGATCGAGTGCAAGGAGTGTATCACTTGTTGCAAAGAGTATACCACCTAAAAGACAGTTATTTTGGTCGTGTAATTTGATGACTGATTTTTATCTTACCAAGAAAACTATAAAATCTTGTCCATGTCCATTCATTATTATCGGTCTTTATTCTTGCCATTGCTCTCCATATCATAAACATAGTTAAACCAATATAGGAATTAATCTACTCGCAAAAAATAAAACAAATGCATTCAATATTGAAGAAAACTTCGCTTGAAAACTACCCACCACATACGACAATGGCGTATAGAGAACACCAGACAACATTAAATAAATAACAATGACTGGTAAAACCATAAACGGTAACATAAATACTCTTAATGGTCTCATACCATATGCAGTTGCGTATAATATATGTGATATACCGAATGCTAAAATACCATGAATAAAAAATGAATGATCATAGACAAGTAATGCATCACCAAGTAATGAAAAAGCTAAACCGGTTAAAATTCTTCTTGAATATGAATATTCAAATCCACGTAAATTGATTCCATTTAATAAAATAAATAAAATTAATGAACATATTGGTAAACATTTAAATATTAAATAAAAAATATCAGCAGTTTTATATTTAGATTTTGGAAAAAGTATAAAAAAGATTGCGACTGTTTTAAAAAATGGTACAAGTTTCGGACCATTACATTTTAATACATTTGGTAATTTTGTCAAAATAGTAGTTTGACTTAAAGTTGCAGTTTTTGTCACAGACATTTTGTTTTCTTCTAAAAATAAATGATGAAAATGTTTATTTGTATTTTGTTTCTTTTTATATAATGTCATCCATTCACCCTTATTTTGTGTCATGTTTAGAGTCACAAGGTGATGAGAGGTCATGTGAAAACGAAAAATGAAACTAACAGACGACATTCATGTGAAAGCTATGTACTCAAAACAACGCAAAAAGATACTTTAGTAAATGTTTGAATTTTTTTAAAGAATTATTAAGTAAATTAAGATAAATTTTATTGATTTTAATAGATTAAATATAAATAATAAGCATATAATGAAATATTTGTTTATACATGACTACTGTTCACTGAAAAAAAAAAATTACCACATTACGTATTTACTTGAAAAGTAGAACATGTGATGAGCATGAGCTATGCACTAATAACAATCAACTAGTAGCTTACATCACTACTAGCGACAAAGAGCAAAGTTTTTTCAAGAACTTGTATTATTCAACAATCTTATTTAAAATAATGATATAAGATTAATGTGATATAATTATGTAAATATTCTATTTAAGCCAAATGCTAGTGCCCTCTCTCATTGATCATTAATATTCAGGTTGTTCATTTGACCAACACGAAAAATTTGTTCTGTTACCTCATGATTTGATAAAGTACGTCAGTTACAGATTGCTATCTTTATAGATATTCGACTCCCTCAATAGCATTTTATTTTTGTATAATTATTATTTTGGATGGTTCATCGATAATGATGAACACTATTTCATTGATTTTATATTATTTTTTTCTATCAATTCTTCAAAATGCTCTATCGGATGTTATTGTGGTACGATAGAAAACAAGTGTTTATTTAAGATAAAAATCTTTTATTTCATATTTCATAGTATGATAATTCAAATAAATCAATCAACAATTATAATGATCAAGCAGCTGGTTTTGGACCATCATTTCCAACAGGAGGATTAAAAGTAAAATACTACTCTATTATTGAATTATTCTATTTCTGTATTTATATTGAAAACAAAGGGTTATATCACAATAATAGAGCCACAAAATGGATGTACAAAAATATTACCACCACCAAATATTCCAACATTTGGCTATCATTGGATTGCACTTATTCCTCGAATCAGAGGAAATGAATCATGTGAATTTGGTCTTAAAGTAAATTTCGAATATTTTTTGTTTTCTATATAGTTTTATTTTCTGATATTTCAAGGTACAAAATGCTCAAAATGCAAATTTTAGTGCCGTCATTATTTATAATTATGAAGATGTACTATTCACGATGGGATCATCCGGAAAAAGTAAAAAGATAGACTAAATTAAATTTTATATTTTTCCTTATGAATTAAGATGTTCGTATACCATCAACATTAATTACTCATATGGACGGTTTAACATTGATCTCACGTTATTTGTATAATACAACATCAGTTAACTCGACTTCAATGTAAAATTCTTTTTCTTTCATTTTGAAAAATCTTCTTTCGATTTTTTTCGAACAGATATCATGTGAAAATAGTGCCGGAACAACCATTACCGATGGCTGCTTATTTAGTACCAATTCTTGTGGTTATGGCCTTTTTAATTCTTGGTCTTATTGGTTTTGTAGTAAGAATTTTTGTTTAGGATTCTAGAAAAAAATATGTGATGATGAAATTTTGATTTAGTTGGTAAAAATGTATTTACAACGACGTCATACACGTCGTCATCGTTTACCACGATCAGCACTTAAACAATTAAAAATAAAAAAATTTGTTAAAGGTGATCCATGGGAAGTATGCGCTATTTGCTTGGATGATTATGAAGATGGTGCTAAATTACGTATATTACCTTGCGATCATGGTTTGTAATTTTTTTTTTTTTTAAATATTTTTTTTCTCATGAATTTGTTTTATTTTCAGCATATCATATGAAATGTATTGATCCATGGTTAATAAATAATCGACGTCAATGTCCGGTGTGTAAACGATATGTATTTCCTGATCACGATAATTCTGATGAAGACGGAAGTATTAATAATCAACAAGCAAGAACACCAACAGAACAAACACCATTAGTACATTCAAATGATAGTAATTCAACAACAGATATATCAACAAATCAACAATTATCTGGTAAAATTTTCCGTAATCAAATAATTAATTAAAGTAAAAAAAAGATTATTTTTATTATAGAACGTCAATTACTTAGTCCATCCGGTAGAGGTATACATAATGTTTCCTTTGCATTAAATGAATCAACAGATGGTGTTGAAAATTTATCGTCATCACAACGAACAACATTAACAAATCCTACAACAACAATAGGAGTTGCTTTTGATAGACCATCATCAAATTCTCGTCGATATGGCAGTATGCATGAATCTTTAATAACACCACGTGTTGCTAATTTTTTTGTTGGTTCTATTGGTGGTACAACTGATAATACAAATGTATCTGCACGTTCAACAGTTGAAGATGTGAGTGATATTGAAGTAATCAATGATGATGGTGATGAAGAAATTCATTCGACTGCAACTTGTTCCGAAGAAAATCGGGCATATATTAATGATGAAGGATCAACAACAAATACGATTCACACGTACTTGTAAATTTTCTCTTTTGTCTTTTCAAATGTCTAACAGTATATTTCTTTTGTCTTATTACTACTTCAGTGCGTTGTCTGAAAAAGAATTCTTTTTTTTTTGTTTCTAACAAAAACAAATTTGTTTGAAAGTGAATAATGTCTAGATAATTTGTTGCTAATTTCACTGTTTTTCTTTTTTTGTGTTCACATTCCTAATGCAAACAAATTTATAGAGACGAATAGTTTGTGATGAAATTTGGTGATCTGTCTTTTTATACTTCATTAATATAAAAATAAACTACATGAATTTTCATTTTCTCTCAATTATGACAAAACAAATAGAATGTTGGTGTCAACAAGTCGAACAATTACACAAGTTTCAATTTATTTGTCTACAAAGTATTAGAAAAAATAAACGTAACTTTGTTAACATATGTTCGTAGTCTATGTACGTATTGGACGATAGCTATATGATATGATATCCAGGGACATTTACATTTATTCTTTCTTTTCATTGCGGACGCATCACTCTCTTACTTCATTTTCTTTTTCTATTGCTGTTTCACATTCGTCCGTCACTGACGATATATAAAAAGATGAAGCAATACTTTCATTATATTATACATACTGGTCGAGGCCGTAAGAAAATGATTTAGTGTAGAAAACAATCTCTTCTGATGCGATCATTCGTGATTAGAAATGCATTGATAGTTTATTCAGTGTTTGTGTTAACTTACCAACATTTTTTCAAAATTAATTTGTCATGATCAAGTTCTTCTTTGTGCAATGTCACTGTTCGATGTGCCTCCCTTGAGTATCATGAAAAAACTAGGGAGATACAGGGACGGTGACAATGCGCGTAAGATCTATTTTACTTTTTTTTTATCTATTTAAATTGTTTCTAACAATGACGTATGTTAGCTACTGTTCTGCTTGTGCCACGCTATGTGAAATGAAAAATGAGCGAAGTACAACAGACAGTCATTAACATCATCATTATCAATTGAGCTAATATGTCATATAGATGTCAATGAGGCAACTGTTCACTTATACCTCGCTCGGATATATAGATGAGCGATGTATCACTGGATAGTCGTCGAATTTTCAATGAATCTTCTAAATTTTTTTCAAAACAAAAAATCGGATTATCATTTCACTGTATTTCCTACCTCGCTATCGAAATTGAAACAGCGAGTGTAAGCAATGTCAGCGAATTGAATATTATCTGAGAATGCACCTGTTTATCTCACAGAATTTTCTATTGTATTTTTCTTCTCTTTGATTCATACAGCTAAATAATATGCGAACTTAATTTATGACTATTACATTAGATTACATAGAGAGAGATTGCTCGATGGAAAACAAGTTGAAGAAGCGTTTTAAAGAGGTCAACATAACAGTCGTCTGATTTAAGAAAAATAATCTTGTTAACTTGTTTTAGAAAACATAATTTTTATATCTATTAGCAGCATTTAAATTGTTAATTGGCGCTTTTGAATGTGAAACGCATGTACCAGAATTTCCTATTCTCAATAAATATGAATCTTTGGAAAAAAAAATGACCATCTGTATCTGTAGTATGATATCTATACTGAGTATCAATATTATTGTTTAAGATAAAATCATTTTCTATATCTGAAATAGGTGCACATACATTTTTATAGATGCAAACAAAATGACTCTGCTTTAATATGTATTGTAAATTGAGTCAGAAAGAAATAAAGCAATAATGAAATAGACGTTCGATTGAAAGAAATTATACAGAAAATAAAATATATATAAATTTTTTTCTTATTAGTAGTTGAAAAGTACATGGAAAATAATAAAGTACTATTCGGAAAATGAGGCATATGTTTGGCAGGAGTCCATTAATCATCAATCTGAACAAGCAATGTGTAAAAAAAATACAACTTGTTTCATTCGGCTTAGTAAAGGCTACATACTTACACAGGTAGATAACCATCTCACTGTTGTTTCAAGAATGAAAATGAATATAAATTTGTAAAAGAAAAACGAGATAAATAAAAAACAAACAAAAATTAATAGTACACATCAAGCATAGCACCATTTACAGCATTATCATTCATTGAATGAGGTCTGTAATCTCTTGAGATATGTCGATTCGGATATTGAACATTTCTCAATGGTTGACCATTGGATGCTCGTAAAATAAATTCATTTGTATCAAGATACTGTGATTGCGCTGCTTGTTTTCTATTGGATTGATGCTGTGATGGTACAGGTCGTTGTTGTTGATTTTCTTGTTGTTGTTTCATCATACCTGGTTTATTATCTGGATAGCTTGCATAAAGAGATTGTTGTACAGGTATAGAAGATATTTGTGGTTCCATTTGTGGTGTTAATTGATGATGAAATGCTGTTGAATCAATAAGATTTTGATCTAATAATAAATTAGGTTGAGAAGAAACCATAGTAGGCGATTGAGCTGTCCAAATTGGATTCATCGTAATTGCAGCACCATTACCTTTCACAAGACGACTTTCATAAAAAGGATTATGATGTACATTGGGTTGTTGATCATAATCTAAACGCATTTCAGAACGAGTTCGATTTCTATTTTGAATAAAATTATTATTATTATTATTATTGTTGTTATTGTTGCTGTTATAGGCATCTAAATCATTTCGAGATGATGCATTTGACTGTGGTAAACCATTTGTTAATTCGTAATTATTGTTTCGAGTAAATAATTTCCTAGAGAAAATAGATTGTCATATAGAGAAAAATTACAAATATAATACACACTTAGTAACAGCAGTGATTGGTGCTGGTCGAAAACGATAAACTGATGGTTTCGTTGGTTGTTGCATTGCTGGATGCTCGATATTACCATCATTATCAGTAAAAATTGAACTTGTCTCATCTTTGAGAAAATCAAAAGCCAAACTAACAGCTTCCACCTATAATGAATAAAAAATATCGATAATTATTACTTAAATGATGAGTTAATCAATTTTTATACCGGATCAACCGTAGCATCACTTCGATAAGTAGGTAAACGAGATCTCGCATTATTATTCTCAATAACAGCCTTATTCTTACGTTCATCAGTAGTTATTGGAAGAACATTCGTTTGTAGATTTTGTCGTGTTCGATTATCATCCGGATGAATTGGCGAATAACCCACAATTGCAGGCTAAAAGAAATTAAATTGAATTTACATATTCTTTTAATTCTAATTTTTTTTTCATATATAAAATAAAATTTTGATCACCTTAAACCCAAAACACATGCCAAAACTGGAACGTAATTTAGCTGTAAAAAGTGTTGATAAATCTGTTGATCTATGCATCTCATGTTTAACACGTACCATGATGAATGATTATGTCATATGATTCAAACAATACGTTTTAAAAAGATGATCATTTACTACTGCTCAGACATACAGAATAAAGAAGAATATATGCTAATCTTTTGATGAATGAGTGGTGATGTGATCAAAATATTGTTGCTGAATTTAAAATGGAGAATAAGAGACAGCCAGAAAGAAAATATGTGTGCTTGTTCAACAGAAGATGACAAAGAGACGGCGACAACGACAGCGGCGGATGCCCTTAGATCACGAATATGAAAGGAAGGTAATCGCTTACTAAATTTACTTTTCTCTTTCTATATACTGACGCCAACAAGGATTTCTTTCTTTTTTTTTGAAGTGACCCACTTCGCTCAATAAATTTAATGAATTATTGATTGATCAGAGAACGTAACATAACCTTGTACATATGAAGGTGTATGTACAAAATAGTGACCTAATAAAAATAGACTTTTTTTCTTACGTCAGTACTTCGCCATGCTTGAGCTCGTTGAATATTTCCATGAGCAACATGTACTGTATCATAATCTTTTGGTGGAAATAGTATAGGTTCTTTTGAATTAATTTTCATTTGAAGTTCTTCTGCAATTGATTTCATCGGGTCAGGTTTTTTTTCTTGTCGACTATCACTACTTGCTGATGATAATGAAACACCTGTATTTTTTTTTTGTGATTTTCTTGCATTAAAATCATCTATATTTAATAAATTACGATTAAGTAATTGCTGTTCTAATTGAACAATTTGAAGATGATGGCTTTCAACAAGTAGATATGCACGAAGACGAGATAAAAATTTTTGAGCAGTACGTGATGAATCACATCGATAAATATGAACAAATGCTGGATAATGTTGACCATTCAATGGTGAAATATAAACAACACCTAATTAAATATAAAAATTTTTAAATAAATAAACTTTTTTATTCAAAATTCAATAACATACCAACAGTATCATCATAAGGTGTTTTACTAACAGCTGAACCAGCAATCATTGTTGATGGTACAAGCGTAGAAAATTTTTGTTCATCATCATATGTAATTTTGATACCATCTTTCAATACTGTTAGAGTTGTTTTAATAAAATCACGTTTTGTTTTAACTTGACGTATAAAATCAATAGCATCTCGTATGGTTTGATCATTTAAAAGTAATGCTGCTGCTGTACAACCACAATAATCAACACGAAATATTTTTGGTCTTGATAATTTGTTTAGAGCCATTGAACATATCTAAAGATACTAATGAAAAATAATTCAATTTCTATTGAAGAAAAATTCGAAGAAAAAAAAATCGTTATGTCTAGCGCTTTGTTACTGGACAGTATTTTTTCTTTTTTGACACTTGACACTCAGTTGACTATACCTACAATATACAGCCTGGCATGTGCATCAAAGCTATCTGATATTTGTTTCAAATCAAGTCACTCGAACGAATATCGTCAAAAATTTCAGGGCAGTCTCTTTTATCTTGTGACGTATACAAGAGTAATAGAAAAAGATAAACTCATAAATTATCTCATTCGATAATAATAATCATGGTCATAAGAACAAGAACCAAAACAGAAAAACAGAATACCTCACATGTACATGTGAAAAGAAAATATGACTCCAGTTTGCTTTCTTTCTAGAATTATTAATCAGACACTTGATAAAAAAAAGAAAAAAAGCCATACGAAATAAATTCACTCTCTTTATTCTTCCTTCCTTTCTTCTACTTCGCTACAGCAAAACAGTACTGATTGAGTAGGTGTTGTTGCTTGAAAAAACAACATCACATAACGTTTCGACTTTTTTTCTTTTTCCTACTTCAAAAAGAAGAAAAAAAAAATTATTTCTACCAATACAACGTTCGATTACGAACACAAATGACAACTGAATAAAGAAAAAAAGTTCGAATCGATTGTACAAAATGCATAATAACGATTGGCATTGGAATTTTAAATTCAATGTTAACTTGTTGAAACAATATTATATAAAAAGATATACACATGCCACTAAGTGCTACAATACGATGCATATATGTTTGCAAACCATTCAAGATACAATAGACAATATGTAAAAAATTAATAACAATAAGAATAAAATCTTTGTGAAAATCATTTATTAAAGAGTCTTTTTTAAATTCATTTAGTTGATAATAATTCGGAATAAGAACAATAATTGTTGTAAGAAAAAGATGAAAAATCGACCATGAATATGAATAAATAAAAATAATAAGTGCAAGAAGAGCACCGGTTAAAATACTATCAATAGTGAAAAGAATATATATGAAACTATTCGAAATATGTTCATAGATAAAATCTAATAGAAGATCATCGATTGATAATAGACTCATAATAATAATATACAAGGAAAGACATGAAAAATATTGTTTAATTAAAGAAAGTAATATGAATTTATGAAAAATAAACGAAATAATTATAATTACAACATAGATAATCAATGTTATCGATTCAAAAAAGAGAAATATCATCAATTCCACTTTTGTAAATAAAAGACAAACTTAGTCGAAAATAATGATAGTTTTTTTTTATAGAGATGCGCGTTTATATATACATTTTCATTTTATTGTTCATAATGAGTTTTAAAATATTGTTTAATGGAAAAGAATCTATTTAAATTTTGATCCAATAAGTTTAAAAAAAAAGTCTTTTCTTTTTCATCATGCTACTCATTTATTGAACTTGGCAACGGATTATATTTACACACGTAATATCTTTACTTCTTACCTTTTTGTTCACAAACGCTTGTCATTTTCTAATAGCTTTATGATAGATATAGAGATGATGGCAGTTCTTACTTGTTTCTTATTTTATGATAGGGTAACATTGTTAAATCTATGTCTTATCGAACACTTGATATTGTAATTTACAAACACATTGATTTTTTTTTCTTTCTTTTATCTTTTATTCATCAACATCTTTTTTTAATCATCCTTTACAATATGCGCATTCTCTTTCTTTTTTTAAGTTATTTATTTATGACTGTTTTTCTTGATCAAAAAGATCGAATTTGAATATATTAGCACGATAATATTGTAATAATTGAATAGATCCTTGCAATTCTGCTACAAGATTATTCGAATCAGCACATATTATTCTAAGATAAATGAATTAATATGTGAACATTTTTAGATAAAATTAAACCTACGGTCGATTTTCGTATACTTTTCGAGCCCATCTTCGACAAAGAACATTTAAAACATCGACATCAATACTTCGATAATGACAACATGAAAGAAATTCAGGTACAACATGTTGTATTCTTGCACGATCAATATGAACACATTGACCACAAATAGGAGAACTTCGATTAACTAAAATATTTTTATGTAAAAAACCAACTAATAAAGAATATTGATTGCATTTATCATTCATATCAAGATATATATGATTTAAAATATTAAGATTTCCATCGGTTATAATTACATAGACATGATTAACTTGATCAGAATCAGTTTTTAACCAAACTAAATGTGTACGAGGATTTGAAAGAATAGGTGCAGGAAGATAAGGTGGATATCGAATAGCATGCCAACCAAGATAAAAATTACTATGATTATATTAAATATATATCAAGGACAAAAGAAAAAAAAGACATTTTTGTTATTACTGTTGTCGATAATGATTAAGTTCATTAATTGATTCTCGTATATCATCACGTGCTCGATGCATCATTTGTTTGTGAGGCCGTTTAGTATAGCGTACAGGTTGCCAACGTAATGTTAATTCTTTTAAAGTACTACCTTAAATATGAATTCAATAGAAATCTTTGACTTTTAAAAATAAGCAAAAAAACAGTATCTATACATACAATCAACAATACTTGGATGAAGAATTGCATTGAGACGTGGCATATATTTTTCAATAAACCTGAAATCATTTGAAAGAAAAATCATATTTTTGTTTTTGAAGATAGTCTTAAAGAATATTAAAACAAAGGAAAATCCATATTTACAACTACTATTTCGTTATTTAACATGATTAGAATATTGGTAAATGAGTATGAACGTAAGTAATTGTATTTATCATAGTATCAGCTCAGACTACATGCCAAAAAGTTTTACTCGATTACAGTTGATATAGTATTATCTGTCATTGGAACTCAAATATAATTGAAATTAAATTTCCTTTAATCATATCATTTTTAAGCAAGTTTTTGAAAATTCTACACGATTTGATACAGGGATATATAATAATGGATAATGTATTTATTGAACAATCTTTTCAATCGAGTTAATTTTCTTTTTGATAAATATTAAAAAAAAACTGAATTCATATAAGTGAAAAGAAGAAAACATGAACAACATTTTAGTTAATACAACCTTTTTCAAAATCAATCAGTCAATAAAATAATGTAATTATTTTTAATACACACCTTTAATATAAACTCTTTTCATTTTACTAAAATAATTAGTTTTTCTCCAATATAAAATTCATTGGAGTTTCAAACACTACGCCCATTTCAGAAAATAACTTCTCAAAAACTATACAAATGTCTTTTGTTGAAACTTCAAATCATTTTCTATTTTGTTAGTGCAATATATGACGCTCTTTAATTGTTGATATTCGAAAAGAAAAAAAAATCATTATAACAGTTTACATGAAAGTTGTCCATTGAAAACTAGTCTCATTATTTTATAGACTAATTAATTTAAAAAAATTCTATTTACTAAAATGTAGCTCATATTCTTCTCGGTTCATTTATATGGATTCCTTTTCTTTGAATACTCTATGAAAGACAATTAACTCGATTGAAAACCGAGACCCTTAAATTATTTTTTTTTGGCCTACCCTGAAAGTGAAGTCTGCCGCGTTTGGTTCCAGATGCGGATCTGGAAATTTCCTGTTGACATAGTCTGGAACTGACCCAACGAGCAGAACTCTAAAAGTAAAAGTCAATTATGACTTGATTATTAATAGATCATCGTCAAGATGGTCCAGAAGAAGTATAAAGCGTGTTAGTAGCAAAATAACTGTCAGATTTATGAGTACGGCTCTGGTCTTGTTCAGACTCAACAATGTTGAATCAGGTGGGTTCTACCTGAAAGTGGTATATGAAAATATTTTTGTGCTGCAATAGGGTCAGAGAAAAAAATAGTGTTGCCCTATGACAGTGTTTCATCAAAAATATTATTTGAAAAAAATATCATCCAATTTTGTATGTAACTTCTTTGAATCTGATAACATTGATCGTATATATATATATTCTGATAGATCTTTCTGCATGATAAGAAAACTTGCCATCGATCAACAAAAACTGAATTTCCAGCCAGAATTCCAGTACCGGATGCACAATAACGTTTAAGAAAGTCAATAACTGTTGTTTCAGCATTATATAATGATATTTGACTTTGTCGAATTAATTCAATTAATCCTGATTTAGTATGTTGTTCTCTTGACCAATCATTCATTTTATCAAGTATATCTTGATCATGATGAATAACAATATCTGGACCTAATATAAAATATATACAGTAAATAAAATAATCTTTTTCGGTTTTCAACTAAATGCAAACCTTCAATATAATTTTTAAGATGAAAATCAGTAATTGCTATTGCTATTTCGACAATTGTATGCATATTTAAATCAAGTCCACTCATTTCCAAGTCAATCCATACAAGTAAATTGTGATCACAATCATTAATCATAGCCATGATGACAGAAAAAAATCTGAGTAATAGACAATTTTTATTTTCATTATGAATGAAAGAAAAAAACAAAAGACAAACAAAGAAAAAGAAAAGTGTGTGATTGACGATTATTTTAAAGAAAAGAAAAAATAAAACCTAAAAAAAACTTTTATTATTCAAAATTATCCAGTGATTTATGAAAAAAAAACAAATTTTAGTCTATCTTAAAAATGACATTATTTTCTTTATTGTCATTTTTTTATTGAAAATATTTTGTATGTTAACATGAATCGATATTAATTTCTTGTTCATCAAAAATAGATGAACTTTGTTGAAGAAATGAATTATTATTATTTGAATCGAATTCAGTGGTTATATGTTCACTATCATCCATATTTGATAATTGATCATCTTTTATTCTTGAATTAGGAAAACGCTAAATAAATTAAAAATAAATGTATTAAAATTTTAGCTTTAATTTATTTACAATATGTTTTAATAGACGAGCTTGTTCTTTTTTAGCTTCAAGTATTCGTTCATCTTCTGTCATTCGTCGAGTTTTAAATTCTTGCATTTCATGATTAGCACGAATTTCACGTTCCTTAATATGTAAAATAATTTAGTTAGAAAATGATTAATGAAACAGCAAAAACCATACTCGCTCTTTACGTAAACGTGTTTCAGTATCAAGTTTATGTTTAGTTAACATTCGATTAATATGTGCTCGTTCGATTTGTCGTTCTTGTTCGAATTGTTCTAAGCGACGTTTTAATCTGGAAAAAATAAATAAAAGAAATTTGAAAGATTAAAACTCAACATTGAACTTTTTTACTTTTCATCGAATTGATTGATTTCATCTGTATCATTTTGTAATCGAGAAGAAATCTATAAAAGACAATGAATAAATGTTTTTTTATTATTATTGTGTAACTAGTGATAATTGCACATGCTTCTTGATTATTGTTTATATTCATTTGAGAATAAAATTCTTCAACACGACAATCGAATTCATTGTCTAATTTTAAATTACTACAAAAATAAAATGATGAATTCAAAATATATTTTTTTTAAAACATACTTTAACTCTTTTTCTTCTTGTTCTGTACGATTGAGTTTAGTTATTAAATCATTCATGCGTTTTAAACGTATTTCACTTATATTATTTTGATTTGTATTTCCAAGTTTTGTGAGTTCTTCTTGTTCAATTTCAATTTTTCTTTAAGTAGAAAAAAAGGCAAATATGAAAGATCTTTTTATGTTCTTCAAAGTTCTTTTCCATTAAGATGGTACTCTCTCTCTCTCTCTTCGTCTGAAACTGACTTTCGATACAGTCTACGGGGTTGTCATGGAACATGTTGAAGATGTTCGGTCAATAGAAGTATACAAAATATAAAAGACTTCGTGGCTTCATACGTTATCGTTCATGAAATTTCCAGGAGTCACGTTGCAAAATATGTCAATATTTTTTCAATATACTTTAAGCTATAGCATTCGAGTTACTCTCATTTGAAATCGAACTATTTACCACTTCGAATGAAGAAAAGTGTTTTTTTAATTTTAATTTTTTATTTCATTTTTGGTCTTCTGAACATCTTAAAACTTCAAGTCATACACAAAATTTTTTACCTAAACCCATGATTAGCTCGACATTGAAGATTAGATACAAAATCGCTTTTCCTCATCCAAATAAAGATGTATCTATCTGTCGAATAAAAACAATCACAGTTCAATAGAAGGAACTATATCAAACAAAAGAAATTTGTTCAAAACTCAACAATTAATCCAACAATCAATTTTGAGAACAAACGTACGAACTTATCTTTTATAAATTTACTTAAAAAATTTTTATCCTAATAATATTTTTCTTACAATAATTCACGAACAAATTTCTACAGATTCTTCTTTCCAATTAAAATGAATTTTCTTATTCGATCTATTTTTCAGAAAGAGTATTTGTCGGACAAACCGTCTTGTTTTCGAGTTTTATCGTGAAACAGCTTGTACTTAAAAGTATAGTATACACAAGCGTGACTAAAGAGTTTCAAAATTTGTAGGCAAGGTATGAGCTTATAGTTTTTTTTACAATCAAGATGTATAGTGAAGATAAACCCAAAAAGAGTTCGTGTCATTAAGCCTTTTTTTGTTCAGCTATGCATATCAGATTAGTTTTTCAGCCTATTGCAGGATGTGAAGACGGAAAAACCAGCAACAAGAAACTTTTTTCTGAAATTTTCACAACAAGAAATATCATAGTCCTTGTGATAGTCTCGAAGTTTGGGCTTAAAAGGATGATTTCTTCTGAATATATCGCATACTTGTAAAAAGTGAAGTATTTTAAGAACTTTTGTCAAAAAGTAACACCTTTTTGATAAACATGTTGTTAGCTGAGAACATAAACGGCTGTTTGAGCAGAAACTTTCCTGGAGAAATTCCTTATTGCTAGTTTTTTTCCGTAATATCCTGCAATAAGCTGAAAAATTTAATAACATGTGCCTAACTTAAGAAGAAAATCCCAATGATATGAATCATTTTGCGAAGGATCATAATTGAACGAGTTTCCTCTTTAGTCTAAAATTCTTTATATAAACTATTGTATGATACATCTTTCAATAGAAATAGCTTTGAAGTAAAATTTGAAAACTTGTAGCCCTGTATAGCTCTTCTGGGAAAGTATGCGTATAAAAAATTCAATAATTTCTCAAAATTTTAATGATAACTCAAAAGCTTCTAGGTTTTTCACCAGATTATTATGTAATATTTTTAGGCAGAAATTCATTAAAATTGGATGAATAGATATTTCTGTTAGTTCCATGGATGATGTAAGATTCAATAGATACAGGCGTTCAAGTTCAATTGACTCGTATAAACCCTCTGTTACACAGTCGAAGCATCTAATTGAAGAACTATAATTCTGAATAGTTCTTGAAGAATGAATAAGTGCTTTTTAATTTACCGCATTGATGAAGTTACATTATCAGATGATGTAGATAAACTTGCTTTTGATAATCTATTATTGATATCGATATCATCTGTCTAATGAAATATAAAAAGAATAATTTCTATCATTTCTTCTTTTCTTTTTTATAACGATAACTTACTGAATTAGTTTGTTTTATTAATGCAAGACTATTAACCAATGGTTTTGGTAATGTTTTAGGTGGTATCGCTGATTTTATTCGATGGTTTTCATTTTGATCTAATGGCATATCTTCTCGAAAGACTAACGATCTAAATGTGGAATCATTTCGATTAATTAATGATTGTGTTTGACTGTTTGGTCGAATAAAATTTGTTAGTAGAAATTTATTATCATAATTATCTAAGTTTTGTTCATTTATTTGTTTTGAATTAAAAAGATTTGGATTTGATTGACATTGTTGTGGTACATGAGAATTGGTTTGATCATTGTGAGTTAAACCCGATGATGGTATTGATCGTTGTTGATGATTAGTTATATCATGAGAAAATAATACTCTTTTTATACTAGGTTTAACTACTGATGGGTTAATTTGATTATGTTGAATACGACTAGTTACATGTTGTTGGGCATTTGATAATCGTTCATGACTATTTGTTGTCTGTAATGCAAGTGTCGAATGTGGATATTGATTTGATAATAATGAAGAATTTGATGCTGATTGTAAGCGAGTAAATTCATGATGATTCTCCGATGGTGCAGTAAGTAGAGCTGAAAGACCATGACGATTAGCTGCATCTTTTCGTATTTGTAAGGTAACTGAAGGTCCATATCGTTTGAGTGCTTCAGCAGCTCTGAAAAAACACAAAATAAAATCGAAAAAACTTTGAATTTATTTCTCTTGTTACTGTTCTTGTGTTTTATCAATCAGACCAATTTCATCAACACAAAGGATTTGATCACCTGGTTGAAGACGTCCATCATCTTCGGCTGCACTACCAGGTATAATACTTTTTATATAAACACCTTGAAATTGTTGCCATTCACTCTAAAACAAAATGATTTTTTTTTCTTTTTAAAATATAGTAGAATTCAATCATTTTCTTACTTTTGCTGAAACAATACTTAAACCAAGATTATTTCCTTTTTTATTTAATATAACCGTTTCTATTCTATCATTATCTTTATTATTATTTTCACTCTAAATGTATGATATCAAATAAATATAATATCAAAATTTCTTGTTTACTTTTGATGTTTGCATAAACTCAGTCCACAATCCAAGACTATATGAATTCGTAAATAAACGACATAATCCTGATCGACTCATAGGTTCAATGAATTCAAATAATTTTTCTGGTATACCACGTAAATTTTCACATGTATAACCATCTTCGGAAAATACAAATGGTAATGTTAAACTTGGTTCTTCCGCTAATTGAATCATAAAACCTTCACGATGTAAATTTTCATCAACATATTTATAAGCAGTAGAAAGAAGGCTAAATTCAAAAATAAAAAGACTCAAATTCAAAATCTGACTAATTAAAAATAAAAACACTAGATGAATAACGATTGTTTGAATAGATAACTTTTGTCAGAATAATGTTTAATATTTGTATTATAATAAGTCTGTTAGAGAATGTGATTTTTCAATAGAATACATATCGGTTATATAACTCAAAGAATGCAATATTCAAGATTTAAAAATCTAAAGGCGAATGATACATTTTACAAGATCAAACTAAAATTCTTATCTGTAGAATAAGATTTTAAGAATACTAAAATGATGCTTCTATTTTGAATATTTCAATACCATTAAACTAATGTCTGCACTAGAATTAGAAAGGAATAAGTGTTGCCTGAAAAACTCGACAACAGCAACCATTAGTGACCTGCAGTTTTCAATAATTGAAAGAAGAGAACTCTGGACGTCTTTTTTATGTTAAATTATATGATAAAAGGTTATTTTGAAATATATCATCTTCATAAACAATTCCAAAAATACATGTCAACAATGTTCCATTTCAAGGAAATTTTGATAAAAACTAAAATAATTTACTAAAAATGAACTGAATTCTATATAATTTGATCGAATAGATATGTGACTTTGTTTGTTCTATATGAAGATATAAGAAGATAATCACCTGAATTATGCCTTGAGCTATAGATCTAGAGCTACTCTATCTGAAGAACAGATCAAAACAAAAATTGCACCAAAACGGAATACTATTTTCATGTATTTTTTGAAAGCTTTACAAATTCGGTGATAGGTTCGATAAATCTGATCTAGTGCCGGCCTAAAGAAAACTATTTACCAATTTATTCGTATCAAATCCAAAAAGAAATATTCCTAAATATTCGTTTTGTTTTATTTTTTTCAGCTGACGACTCTTCCTTTCTTGGTGGATCTTTTCTCAATTCTGTTTCAATTGATTTTTTTATAAGATAATGATCTGAAAACTGTAGACTATTTATCTACAATATTTAGTTCCAGCTCGAATAATTTTTTTTCTCAAGCTCTTGATTCTTCAGAAGCGGAATCAAAACTACTTTATCATTCAGCTCTATCTGTGATTTATCTCTAGTCATATCTAGTTAGAAATCTGGACGAGCATAGATGACGATTGTTTCATTTATCATGCTTTACAAATTGATATTCAATTATATTTAAGAAACAGAAGAAAATACAAACGAGTAGAATGAAAGTTGAATATTATCATAGAAACGGGGTATGTAAGTTGTAGTATAACATTCGAGAAGGAAGGAAGCAAGAAAACGCCTGTCTCATACAGTCTAGTGTTGTTTTTGAAAGTGGTTTCTTTTTTATCATAAGAGATTTTTCTCTTCGATGTCTTCCTTTTTTCTCGAACAGGATAAAAACGAAAACTATGATGACAGAAAATGATGAAGGATAACAATCAATGAGCTAATTATATTTCTTGTCGAAATTCGCTTAGGAACGCATCATTCGTACAGATGTTTAAGATAATCTTCCTAATTTTTATCTCTTCTCATCTTACGAATTTTCTGATTTCTTTCTTTTGTTTTTTTTAAACTTACGCTTCGCGAAAACTATTGGAAATCGGTGGTTCATTTCTATTTAAAATATAATTATTTAATATTTGTGTTATTTGTATTGAATTAATTTTAAATGTTTTATTCAATAATAACTGTTGTACATCATGTATATCGTTTTTTGAACTTTTTAATAATAGACATAATTGATTCACTTTCATTAAATGACATTCTGATGCTAATTCTAAACCTTGTTTTTCTGCCCAATCCTTAATAGATTTTAATCGAAATAATAATTTTTCTCCCCAAATATATGAACATAATTTTAAATCTGGACAACAAACAATTCGATTAAATAACCATGTATTTATATAATGAAATAATTGTGAAAATATCTGAATGGTAAATGCAACATTTAGACGACATTTACGTAATAAATTCATTATGGATGAAAATTTTGCAAGTATATCATTTAATGTTGATTGTTTATATTGATTTGTATTTCTATCGACTGTTATCCAACGTGTATCAGATAATTTTAAATTTGTTGAATTATTTTCTTCTAAAACTTTCGAATTATTCAATGTAATATGAATATGATGTTCAACATCGTCCTGTGGATTGGTAAATGCAGTTAAATATTTATCTAATTCAGTTTTTAAACAATTTATTAAATAATAAAATAAACGTTGAACAGATCCAATTAAACAAACTTGTATATCATGAGAAATTTTCGATAAATCTCTATCGTGTTTTAGAAAATAAAGGAATTCGGACGTATTTGCTAACCAATAAGCAAGATAATCACCATGTTCCTGACATTCCTTTGCAAAGAAAAATAAAAATTATTCATTAAATTTAAAGAAGAAAATAAATTTACTTCAATTTTTTTATTTATCATATCTTCAATACGATGAAGTAAGGAGATAACACCTTCTAGTTTTTGTATAAATGTTACATTGGATTTTCCATATGGTGAAAGACGATGTCGTAGTGTCATGTAAAGTGTATACACAGGCGATAAACGAAAATGAATACTATTTAATGGATAATTATTAAAAACAGCATGAAGAAATCGAATTTCAACTAAAATAAAATCAAAATATTCTATCCATAAGACAAAATAAAAAAAAACAAAAGAACGATCTAAGCGAACGGTCAGTTCCGACAGGAATCCAGTGATACAACTTTTCTCGTTTCAGTCGAAGCCAATTATAACTGAACAGAACGTAGTCAGTGAATCTGATTGCTGGATTCCAATTTCCAAGTTTCTACAATTTTCCCACTGAAAATGGTATCTTTTCGATGATTTCCTATCGAAACTCCACAAATCCGAGCAGAAAGTGTCGGGAGTGTGAAATTCACTCAATTATTCGAAGTTTTTCCTAGTTTTACTATAGCCCGTCCAAAAAGTCCGTGCGTGTGACTGTTTTTTGAATAACTCGAGAACGCAAACAGCTAGAGACCTGTAGCTTTCACCAATCGAAAGAGGAGGAGTTAGGGCGTCTTTTTCTCTGATAATGTATCAGACGAAATTCTTTTAAAACTGATCATTTTTGAAAAATATAGAAAAGAATGCATGAAAATGACATACAATACACGTGAAGTTTCGATTATGACCTTTGATTTAGATAGAGGAACTTCAGATATATAGTTCAAAACATAATAGACTTTCTTACGTTTCATTACATTTTCATCGAAGTTTTCAGCTGTCATGACAACAAATGCAAAAGCGTAGTAAAACGTCAGCGAAATTCCCTATTATTTGTGCATGTAAATACATGATTTCATTTGGTCAACGTTAGAATGCAATTAGAGAGCCATTTGGGTTACATCTTGAACTATAGATCTGAAGTTTCTCTATCTAAATCAAAGGTCATAATCGAAACTTCACGTGTATTGTATGTCATTTTCATGCATTCTTTTCTATATTTTTCAAAAATGATCAGTTTTAAAAGAATTTCGTCTGATACATTATCAGAGAAAAAGACGCCCTAACTCCTCCTCTTTCGATTGGTGAAAGCTACAGGTCTCTAGCTGTTTGCGTTCTCGAGTTATTCAAAAAACAGTCACACGCACGGACTTTTTGGACGGGCTATAGTTAAAAATTTTATAAACAAATATATCATAAGAGTTCGTTAATTTTTTTTCCGAAAATACAAAATTTAATGAAATTTTCATTAAACAAATTAGAAAATCCAATCACTAAGTTATCACTTCATGAAAAAATAATGACTATGCAATCGCTATCAATCTGAGAAATGTCTTGTCATTTGTTTTAGTGACATTTTTATGACGTCTAAAATATTTTGCTTCTGAACAATGTTTTCGAACATGACTGCTTTGAATGAAAAAAACAGCCCTTAAAACATCATGATTTGTATTTAACGATGTTTAAAATTTTTGACAGAAACAATATCTCGACAGTAAAATTATTAATCAATTCGCAAATAAATAATTTTTGACTTGTGAAATCCTATCAATTCCATGAGTTATTTTTGAAAAGAAAAATTCAGAGGCATTTCGATTTCTGATAATTAATCAATAGTCGCTAACTTGAACACTTTCACCATTAGAAAGATTGAAAATTTATTTTGAAATCTATATGAATATACTTTTCTTTCTCAATACATCAGAAGATAAATTCAAATCTGTCTGTTGAGAAAAACTATGGATTTGTTTTCTAATTTTGATTAACGTAAAACTGCATTGTACAATGTTTTTTCCACTTGTTCGCTTCTGTCTTCGGTAGAAGTAAATAGTTGTCTCTCCTATCTTTTAAAATAAACGAAACAAACAACGAAAAATCATTTCTTATTCCAAAGAAATCTTCGTCTCACAAATGACAAGAATTAAACCACCACTGAAAAAGATATCAAAACTAGAAATCTATACTATAAGTTCTATTTTATTTTGATATACACTCTTTGATACTCAACTAGATTCGTTTTTTTTTTTATATTATGAATAGAAATTCTTCATGAAAATCTTTGTTCCACATACTTCATGACACTGGCTGAACTCACCACTTTGCTATAATAATGTAATATAAGTATACGAGCGGCTTTTTTTTTTTTGAGAGAAAGAGCTAATCTATTCAATACACATATAAATATGTTTAAAGCATAAACATTCGCATTTTTATAAGGATATATATCTTTGTTACGGTGTCGAAGACTTATCATAAAGAAAATGAAACGTATCAATTATCTCATAAAATATGAAAACACTGCGAATCAGACAAATTTCTACTTTTGTACAAATATTTTTGCAAACAACTATATAAAATGATTCGAAATTGAATCTGTTGTTTTTTGTATTTAATTTAATCGTGTCAACTAATAATAGAGTTTATCTATATCAATTGTCATAACTCTTGATTATGAACAGTCAAATCCTTTATTCAACGATACGTTTATATTTTTAAAAATTTTCCTATGAAAAGTTTTCACTATAGTGAAGAAAATTTCACCTTCGAATAATTCTCATTTTAGGAATCATTATATAAACGAAATCCAATATTGTTCTTATCAATTAATAAAATCTAAATGTAAAATTCAGTTGAATAGAATCTTACTTTCAACAGGAACTTCTAATAATCCCGGTAAAACATTGAACTTTGTTCTAAAAGATTCTCAATATCGAAGTCAAAATAGCAACAACAGTTATTTTAATACCCTTGTTCGATAACATGAGTTGATGATGTTTTCTTTGATTGAATATGTAAAGCATTAGATGGAGAATTATTCATTTTATTTATTCCATTCATTGGTAGTATTGGTAAAGAACCATATACAAATAATTTATCTCCATTATGTAGATTTCTTTGTCCTGAGATTAATTTTGATTTCTGAACAAATTGTGGATCACAATAACAATATGTTGAATTTCGTCCAAAACGAATTACTGCTCCATGTTGAAGAATAAATGGGTTAGAAGCAAGTTTTCCATTAAACCATATTTCACCATGTGGAATAAGTGTTACAGTACCATTTTGATTTTGTATTGTACAATGATCACGATCAATACCAACACCATCAAGCTAAAGTGAATTTTTATTTTTATTCAAATTATTTTATAATAATAAATTGTTTACATAAAAATATTGTTTTCCAATTGCTGATTTTGCATTACGACCAACGTATGTCGTATTTGGATAAAGTTTAAATACACGAGGTGTTAATAAATCAGTGCCATCTAAAGAATAATTTTAATGAAAATCTTTATTCAAATAAGAAAATAGATTTTACCATGATTAATTTCAATAAATATAGGAAGTTGATCATTAATAATAGTTCGATATTGAATTGATGGAATTTTATTTGTATCTAAAGTTGTCCCTTGTGTACGAAGTTGTTTACGAATTTCAATATATTCTTGTGGACATTTAATTACTTTAAATGTGATTGATCCTATTTTAACATAAAATATTTATTGAGTTTTTATTTATTTTTTATTAAGTTTTAACCTTGATTTTTTTGTAAATGATTTGAATAAATATTTAATGGACATTCTTTATCATGAAGTATGGTTTCTTTAATAGTTGTATTACCTATTTGATCACGTGGTGGAATAATAATCTTAAACAAAAAAAGGTCTTCATCAATAAAAATTTATATAGATTTATTTACTTGAAGTAAACAATAATTTTGTGGATCTTCATGTTTTAATCCATATTTTTCAAGCGTTTCTTTAACAACCCATTCTGCTGTATCTTCTATTGATAGAAGAAATATTTTATAAGGTATAGAAGGATTTAAGGCATCACCAAATATTTTTATATTTCCACCTTAAAATAAAGTTATATTAATTCTATTAAATCTAAAGAGAATGTCATACCTCCTTCTTTGGTATTAATTTTAATAAATTTTTGTTTTAATAAATCTTGAAATTTTTTAACCATCTCTAGATTTCATAATAAACGAGTGAATTTTATTTGATTTAAGTATTGATTCAACAATCGTTATTCGTGTTATGATCGATCGTTGAGTATCATTTTCATCAATAGTATTTTTTCTATGAATGAAAATAAGTTTCTTTTTTTTTCTTCTTTCGTTCTTCAAAAGTAATTTTCGAATATTCTATCGCATTAAATAAGATTTAAGTATATATTTAAAGAAAGAAAAAAAAAAATTCATAAATGATTGGCCAACATATTACTTAGACAGAGTGAGATCTATATAATATAAATTATATTCGAATATTTTTGATGAAAGGACATATTCCCAAGTGATAATCAAGTTTTAAGCTTTTACAATAGATTACAATGAATCTCAAAGGACACATGTACCTATGTGTCATAGATTTCCCTTGTTAAATAAAATTCTTGAATTATTATTTCAAATCTTCCTTGAATCAAGATATTTTATAGAATGAAAACATTGAAAACTTCAATCTGAACTACTTAACAATCTAGTGATTACTATCAGTGAAAATCAATAATAGTGCTTGAAAGTGAGAAGCGAATAAATTCAATAAAAAAACAGCAACAAGTTAACACGAAAAGCACAGTGTGATTATTACTTTTCATTACCGATAAACTGTCGTTGAGAATATTTGCTGTCATGAAAGGAGAAAAAGAATAATTCATATGGAGATTTGTGCTTTTTTTTGTTGTTATTCTTAATTAAACAAATTAAGGAAAGAAGAAATATTTGAATTTACTTTCTGATAGTTTTTTCTTTTTCTTTCTCTGATCATCGTCATTCATTAAAACTATTATCGTGTAGTTTTATTAATATTATAGTTTTGTAAAACAAATCGTTCTTCATATTGATCTTTTCCCCAATCGAATTGAATCCATAATGACTTTTCATTTATTTCTAATTTTCTTCCGTCTATACACAAAAAAAAAAGTAAATATCGAAATGAAATCAAATGATTTCCATGAGATTTCTTTCAAACCTCTATTAGAATGAATTTCATACATAGATAAGTTTTTTTTTCATTTTGGAATGTTTTTATATCATGTTGTCATTTTTCAATTAAAACACGAATATCATGTCCATTGCTATAACTATACTGGCTACTAGTATATATTTTGCTTTTATTTTTTTTACATGTATCTTGAAAATACAAATGCATAACACACCATGAAAATCAAAAACTTCATTTGATTCATTGATTTGAAATAAATCAAGTCGAGTTAAATTCCATTGAATGAATATGATTTAACACGTCTGTACAATATTTGTTTGGTAATAATACATTTATATTTATGGCATATTTAAAAAATGACAAGTATATACACATTAGTCTTGGACACGATCAACCATCAATAATAGAAAAAGAAAAGATCTTTCTCATATTTAACAATAATAACAATGTATTCATTGGATCGGATAATTCAATTAAAGAATAAAACAAAGACTAATATGGTGAATGATTCAATCAATGAAAATGAATCGTTCGAATCGAATCAAAGACGAAAACAAGAGGTCGCTTTTTTGTGGTTTTCATTTCAATTAAATTTAGTATTTAAAATGTCATTGAGTTATGTAAACATATAAGAAATTCTATTTTTTATTGAAACATATTTGATATGAACAGAAACATTTTTTTTTCTATTGGTGTAATACTAGAAACAAAAGATGTATAGGTGAAATTTTTTTATTGTTCAATTTTCAATGTTCAATAATCGACACATATTTTGAAATAGTACGTCATCCGTTTTCTTTCATGAATGCTTACAAAAAAAAAGAGAAAAGAATACTCATTGTATAAAAATGATCACGTTTCTCTATGTGTTAAGAATGTGCAATACATTTCGATAAAAACCTCAACCAGGGAATTCTATGTGTGCATTACGCAAATACTATGTCAGTGTTCGTTTAGCATATATTCAAGTGTCTTTCATTGTTTGCTATGATCACATTTAAATTGATATCCCTCATTATTAAAAAAAAGAAGTTTTTCACCTCCTAATATTCTATAATATCTACAGACGGAACACTTTTGGATAATGAGAAACACCAACTTTAATCTTTCTACGTATTCACTTCCGTAGCACTTGCTAAACGAATAGCTACTGTATCAAACTGCAGCTACTCTTTTTATTCCTTTTTTATTTTAATTCAAGTAAAATTATTTACCTTTATGTATATTTAGGTTTGATTGGATATCGTAAATCTTAAATAATGTCATCATCGAACAAAAAATTTACTGTGAGTATTTTTTAAAGTCTTTGAATTCATTCAATATTATTTTTTTATTTCATTAGATTGCTGTTGAAGGAAATATTGGTTCAGGGTAAGATTATTGTAGAGTTTTTTCATTTAGGAGAAATAAGATTTATTTTGATATTTAGGAAGAGTAGTGTGCTTGCTCATCTAGCTAACTCTTCATTATGTGATGTAATAATTCATGATTTTATTTATAAAATATATATCTTTCTATTAAACTTAGGTTGTTGCTGAACCAATTGATAATTGGACAAATTTGAGAGGACATAATATTTTAGTAAATATAAAATTTAAAATAAAATTTTCTTGATTGTATTTATCTAGGCAATGCTTTATGACGATCCGCATCGATGGGGTTTTACTTTTCAAGCTAATGCACAAATGACATTAGCAAAATTACATGCTAAACCCACTAAAGCACCTGTTAAAGTTATGGAAAGGTCGATTTATAGCGCTCGATATTGTTTTGTTGAAAACTTATATCGCAGGTAGAGTTTCTCTTTGAATAAAGTTCAAAAAAAAAGCAACTTGTTTTGTTTGTCAAGCAAAATTATTCAAGATGTTGAATACGAAATTTTGAATGATTGGTTTGAACTGCTTAGCTCGAATGATTCATGTCATCTTGATCTTATCAGTAAGCATTATTTCACTGAGTGTTTAGGAAAAAGATGAAATTTCTTCTTTGATTGCTAATAGTTTATTTACGAGCTACACCTGAAACATGTCTTCAACGTATTCAAACACGGCATCGATCAGGAGAAGAATCTATTAGTCTTGATTATTTACAAACATTACATGAACGTCATGAAGAATGGCTTATACATCGAAATCGTACAAATTTATCAATTCCTATACTTATTGTTGATGCCAATCAAACAAAAGAACGTGTTTATAATGATACCAATACTCACGTGGAAAATCTTATTTCTTGTTAAATTTATGTATTTTTTTTCCGATTAATATGTGTTTGAAAATAATAGGTGCTTATTTGTGTAGATAAAAGAAATAGTGATAAAAATAAACAAAAAAATCGAATTTGTTTTGTGTTCTTTTTCTTGTTGAATATTGCATTAGATAATCTTTGTTTGTTAATTTTCATTTGTTGAAAACCAATGGTAAAACAAAAAAAAAAATATTCTCCATCTACTATTTTGATATAATAAAATTAATGAAATAGAAAACAAAAGTGAGACAGAATTAGATTACATAAAATAATATCGTTGTTATATAATATAAGATTTAATTCAGAGATGTTCCACAGTCGGCAGAATTCGGAGTGAGAGGAATTGATGATTTAGGAAAAAACAATCAAACGCTGAAAATCTGCTGCCCCAAAACGAAATTTTTTGTAACACACAGGGCTCATGTCTTCGACTCCACCTTGCGCTTGGACCATCCCTAATTTGGATATTTTCTTTTTTCCAAATATGTATAACAATTTTGAATGTTTTGAAAGGTACCTTCATTCAACATATATTAATCCTTGTGTTTTTCGTGTCCTAACTTGTTTAGTATATTGTTTCACTGTCAAAATAACACGAAGAATTAATTGTATCGTTTGTTTTTTGTGTTATATCATTGGTTATGTGCGATCAATTTTTCGAATTTAGATTAGACATTAGTATTATCAAATAATCTTTCTCAGTAATTCATTTTGGTTGAGAAACAAGTATTCGTATATTAAAGGTATTTGCTGATGAACAATTGAACTTTGAAAATCATCTCAACAAAATTATTTTAGATGATTAATACTTCAGGATATTTCAAAAGTCCGCCATGAAAAGAAATATAAATATCGTTGAAAGAGTTCAAGTGATTTGAATATTTTGTTTTCAATGTTATAGTATTTTCTTTAAAATTTTATTTCATATAATTTAGTATGTAAGAAATCTTCAAAACATTTGAAAAAATACTGAAGAAAATTTAGTTTTGAATTAATTTATTTCGGTTGTTGTTGGTGGAATGAAATAGACTGTTGTAACAGTCCAAGCATATGATATAATGGATCAATTTCACAATCTGCTGCTGTGCTAGTTTCACAAAAGAGTCGAAAGATATTTCTAATATAGTCTACATCTGCTGTTTTTACACAAAATTCGGCTTGGCATCGTTTGTTTAGAAACAATATGTGACTCATATTTGACCATTAATAAAGCTATTTGTATTCTAATGTCTGTGATCACAGAAATTTAATCTGAAAATATATAGAATATTACTTCAAGAAAACATATTATCATACTATTGAAAAATAATATAAATCACTTTAAATGGTCAAAAGATAGTCACGCTTTTGTTTCATTGTGTACTTTTGGGATTCTCTCAAAAATAATTTTTATCATGATAATCATCATTATACAATTGTCTGATATACTAAATCAGTCAAAATCCTTTTAATTAAGATAATATTTATTTTTTGTTAATAGTTTACACATTAATAATTAGTTCAATCATTTGATTCAGTTAATAATATCAACAATAGTCATTGATACTTTATGAGCGCAATGCCAAGAACTAGTTCAATTTTATAAAGACATGTGTATAAAATATGACTAAAATATGATATATCTGCTTGACATTGACAAAGAAATTTCAATAAAAGAACAAATATAGTAATAGTGAAGAGAGATGGATTTAAACAACTTAGAAGTCATTCATAAAGATGTCTGGATGATTATTACGAGTTTTTTTTCACAAAGTTTTGACGCTAAGTAAGTTTTAACAGCGTTTTTAAATTATTTTACAGAGAAATTCTATAGTGTCTTATTTATAAATCAATGAAATATATGAATCGTAAAATATATGTTCTATGTTTTTGTCCAAAATATGTTTTTATTTCGATGACCATGACTAAATAAATGCAGTATGAATAAATAAATTACATAAAGGGTGAATCTATACATTTAAAAAGAGTAATGTCAGAGAAAACGGAATTGATTTACATTGAATTTACGTGTTTCATTTGAATCCATTTTAAGATAAACCGCAAGATATTATTGTGGTAATGTTGAGTGAAAACCAAAATTAACCTCACCAAATAAATGTCGAACTATGTAACTGATATATCATATGAATCGAAGGCATTTATCGAATAACAAGAATTTTTTTTCAAGCTAAAAAGAAAAATTTTTCGTATGCAAATAAGAATAAAATGTTTGGTACTTTTACATGAATATGATGATGGAATTTAGCTACAAGAGTAAAAAATTCCATAGCACGCAATTGATGATTTCGAACGTGATGTATTTCAAGAGACGTCAATCAAAAGAATACAGTGCTGAGTAACTTCGTGTTTCATATGTTGTTGACACTAAAAAATAAAAATTTATTTTTTTTTGTTAGTTCCATAGGAAATAAGAGACAACACTTGAATTTCAACTAATCAATAAACGATGGATCGATACCATATAAGACTAATTGATGAATGCTGTAAAATAATGCAAAGAGTGATTTTGGGTGTGAACGTAAATAGACCCTTCATTCATACACACTGAAAATCACGTCTACCCACAGCTACCACCACATCTCACAATCTAATGATAGCGATGGCATACGAATTTTCAGTTTAGAAAAGCAAAACTATGATAAACAAAGATATTTTCATTTAGTTCTTCAATTTTAATATTTGTGTCGTTGATTTAGAAACATAGAAAAGACAAAAAAAGGAACAAATTTATATTTGAAAACACCGATCGTGCTTAAATTATTTTAATCGATTTTTTTCACAATGCATTTATGAAAAAACAAAATCATTGATAGGAGCATATAATAAAAACTAAAGTTTCTTTTAGATCATTTATTGGATGATATTATAATGAGACAATTTAGATTGAACATGTTTCTTTTTTCGATAAATAAATTAATATTGTTTATTATACAGCAAAGATAAATAAAATCTTCTTCGATGCCTTACTCTTTGCTTAGTTAAAGAAACAAGAAAAGAAAAAAAGTTCAATGCAGAACCTTATCTTGAATGTTAATTCTTTTTATATTTCTTGTTCTTTAGGATCAATCAGATTTCAAGTTTAAATATTTTTCTGAACTTTTATTTCCATGATACATGCAGTATCATATAAATATTTCAATTCATCAGCGTGGTACTGATATACAATCACAGAAAAAATAAAAACAATCTAATAAAATTTCCCTTATTAAGAAATCATTTGCTTCTTTCGATGTTTATGACAAAACTCATCATCAAAAAAAAACTTATCATTCAATGATTGAAACTCTTTTTTCAAATAGACGAATTAAAGTTGAACAATCAAAATTTCATCAGTAGATGTAATTTATTATTTATTTATTAATAGCAAGGGACGCATGATAGAGACCATTGTGATGTCTCACAATTTGACAGCTTGTTTCTCTTTCGCATTTGTCTATGTTCAATCTTCAATGAACATAATGAGTAGTTGTAAAGAAGAATAAAAAACAATTGTCAAATTTTGTTCTTCGGTTATCTTTTGAAGAACTTGTCACCAACGAAACTAAAATACTAGGGAAAGAAAAGTAAGGTCCTTCTTTAAAGCAATGAATTAAATATAATTAGACATTTATTGTACATCAAACAACATCTCTTACAAAGAAACTCTTAGTGTACTAATTCCATTTCGGTGATTTCAAAGAAAATATAATTTGGTTCAATTCTCAGTCAAGATTCATCGATCTCCACTTGCTCGTAAATAACCAAAACAGAAAATTTGCTTTTAAGACAGCTTTCATTTGACCATAACACTGCTGTCCACAAACATCTTACGAGGAAACCTCTTCAGGTGTAAAATCGCATTTCGCTCGAGACTATTTCCATTAGATAGGCTTTATCTAGTAGTGAAAAAGTCCATAAAGGTTTCGGTGGATGGCCTTCTCTTGTCAAGTTATAAGTGTTTTACTCAATTTTTGGTCTATTGGGCATGACATTTTCGAAAAAAACCCAATGGTCGAATTTCGAGTTGAAATTTTGTCCATAGATAAGTATNAAACAAATGAAATAGATAATTTACAATCCATTTATAAAACATGGATATTAGAAAGAAAATCTTTAGATACATTTTATGAAAACATAAACGAACATATGAAATTAAATCCACCATCATCCACTAGAATAGAAGAAACAACGAAAAATTTATTAGCTATTCGACAGCAACTTATTAAAGATTTTGAAGCACGAGCATTCAAAGCAAAAAGTTAGTACTTTTTTTTATAATCATAGAAAATTTTCAAATAAATTTTTATTTTTACAGAAAAATTTTGTCCCAATTGTAATACACCTGTACGTACACTTCGTGCGGATTCACATTCAAAACTTTTTTATTCTCAAGGAGTTTCAAATAAACAAATAAAAGCGTATCAAGAACGCATGTCTAATATTCGGTAAGTATTCAACAAATTGTTTCTCATCAGTGGTTTAATTCGAATTCTGATATCATGTTTTTAATAACCATACGAATCGAACTATCGTGTGTACTCAGCGATCTATTAGTTGTAATACAAAATACCGCATAGAACAGATAACTATTCAAATAATTAGATTTTTGAAGAAATTGGAATACCTTGACAGATCAGAGTAGGATTTATGAATTTTTAGTAATTATCTTTAGTTCAGTTATACTCTTTATTCTAAACATAAACGAAAATTTTTCCTATACTTGAGTAATTCATGACTATTCTCAGTCTATGAATGTGCAATTATATATTTCAGCCAAAATAGAACAATATTGAAAAGCACATTAGTATTTTCGATTTTACAGTTAAGTTCACTATATGACATACCTTTTATTTTCTTTCTTTCTATCTTGGATTTTGCAATTAAATGGTTCGCTATTTAGCAATATAATCGATTCGAACTAGTATTAATCCAGTATAAACTAGAAAGAGCTGGCTTGTTCAAATATACCATTTCCTTTTTATTAAATAAATATATCAAACATAAAAACTATTATTTCGATTTACCAAATTCTATTATCATGATTAAAATTCTTATGTCGCACATTTTCTTTTTCGCAGCACACCGGTATACCTCGACACACTTGTCAAAGGCAAAATTGTTTTTTTTTCGGCGCTTCTATCAATTTCAATTTTGCCTAGGCAGAATTCGTTAGCTGTCTATAAGATTATTTTATATCATTTAATTACCAATTGTTTTCATTTTCATAAACAAAATTCACTGAGCGCTAAATAGCTTTCAATATCTTTTTTTGCAATATCAACAATGCCATTACAAGAAGCAAACTCTTCTCGTCATAATATTAATGATTTTGCACGTGAAAAATTTTCTGAACTTGCTAAAAAGTATATTGATGCATTAAATTCTAAAATTCATAATACAGCTGTTATCACGCGTGATCAAAGCGAAAAAATAATCAATGTACTTCAGAGCAAGTTATCTGCTGAAAAGGTTTCCGGACGTTTTTCTCACTGGTGTAAACAAACATTCACGCTTTGTTTCATCGGTAGTCATCAACTTTTATGTGATTTTAAAGAAGTTAAACCTATTTTTGTATATCAGGATATGTATGATATCTATCAGGCAAGCCATCATCAGACTGCTCATGGTGGTCGAGACAAATGTCTCGAATATATTGCAGCAAATTACAGCTGGACAAATCGCTCATTATTACAAATATTCATCGCACAATGCTCAGCATGTCAAACTCGAAAAACAGTTTATCTATATTATATCAACATTATTAAATTTTTTCCAAATTTCCAAAACCCTTGCTCGAATCAGTTATAATACATGTTAATAATTTCTATGAAATTCAAAATAATGTTTACAAAAAAAGGGAAACATCGAAAATCTATACAAATTCTCTAAACAGCTTTTTATTGAATTTATCGATTAGTGAGAAGCCAACTACCATCGACCAATATCTGGATGACATATGATGTCCGAAAATTTTTAGATAATCTTTTTTATGTATAAAACCAGATAAAACAGGTTTTGAACCATGCTAAAGTCACTTTCTTAATCAGTCATTCTATCATAATAATCAATTAATTGATCAATAAAAACAAAATGATATAAAACGAAAAAACTTAGAAGAAAACAGTGCAAACACATTATAGACACTGCCGATAAAAAAGCTTACTAATCATTCTAATTCAATCAAGCATCCACTGTTCCTCTGATGAAAAATACAAACAAATTCATTGAGCTAAAAAAGACTACGTCATAAAACTTCATCAAACATCCGAAATCGCTACGTCCTCACCAGCGAAGAAAATACAAACTTTTTGTAAATAAAAAAAAAGAATCTAACCAATCATCAATATCCCCATGTTCCCATCATCAAAACTAGATTGCAAACTCATCTGCCACATCTATACTCAAGCAAACTCAAAATGATTTTTTGATGTAATACTATAGTAATTAAAAAAAATAATGAAGAATATTGAAGCCTATATACTAATTCTTTGTTTAATCTGAATTATGCACAGAGCTAATTTTGACTAGGCAAAATTATATCCAATATTTTCAAAAGATCAATTTTTATCATTGGTTCAATTCTGCCTAAATACCAAATTTGTCTGACACACACTCATAAGAACCACCGATAGTGCTTACGACTTTCGTTTGCAGCTATAAACGATTGTGAAGAATATTTTCTACCTAAATTCGAATTTATTATTAGAAAGAATTCAGAATATATTTTACTAATAAAAAATTTTTCAACGTCATCTATAATAAAAAGCTTATGTCCTAAAGGGGTCAATTGGGACTCTGTGATTAGTATAGACGCATCAACATAATTAGAGTGCATCGACATTGACTCAATTCTGTCAGTTTTAATAGATTTCAAGAATATTCACCTGTTTTGATACATTACACCATAATAAAACATTTTCAAAAAAAAAAAGATCGGCTATAAAGCGCACATTATACCGATTGGTATGCCGGTGGGTTTTTCCCTCATCCAAACCACATAAGATCTTACTGTTTATCGAGAACCTTTTGTAATTCGTCAGCATTTTGTCTTGTAATATGAAACCATTTCTTTAGACATCACCAGTCAGCAGAACGATAGTGATCACCTAATGTTCATAAAAAACACAACTTTTGATTTCTGTTGACTCGATACAAAGATAACTATTTCTGAAATGTAAATCATTCAAATTTTTATCCATATTTTTAATTTCATGTTTGACTAAATTATTTCTTTATCATCGTCCTAACAATATCTTCAATGTCAACTATGAGTAATGTAAATGTGATAACAAATTATTCGGCTGAAGATATAGGTTAGTTTTCAATTTTCTATTATATAAAATAATATTTTTTTTTAAAATTAGAACGAATAATTGATAATTTTTATTCTCCAACATGTCAATTATCTATTGAACAACGTCAACAATTGAATAATATTCTTGAAAATTTACAATATTCAACATTAGCATGGAATTTTTCATGAAAATTATTAGATATAAATAAATCTGAAAGTGTACAATTTTTCGGTGCTGTTGCTCTTTGTAATAAAATTTCAAAAAATTTATAAGTTTTAACATTGTCTGTTTATTTATTTATTTTTTTTATTAATTAAAATATTCAGATCAGAATTAGATGATAATCAAATTCAACAATTATTTCAACAACTAATTCAACGATTAATTTTCTATATTTCAATTCATTCAAAACAGATTATCATAAAATTAACTGTTGCTGTTAGTAGAATATTAAGAGAAAAAAAAATTTTGATCTTAAATTTTATTCTATTTAGTTAGATCATTTAATTTTACATATGATACCAGACAAATGGAATAATGGTATAACATCAATTATTAATTTATTTACAAAATCACAAAATGAATTTTTAATTCAACATGTTTGTTCATTAAATTTTTTCTATCATAATGTGATACTTTTTTCTTTTATTATATTTTAGCCAGAAAAAGGACATTTAATTATATTAAATATTTTAACTATACTTCCAGAAGAAGTAGGTTGTTTTTTTTATATTCTAAATGAAAATGTATTAGAATTGATTTGAGATTTATATTTTCTTCGCATTTAAAATTGTTACAGTTCTTATGACATAGAAATTTAATATACTAAGATTTCTTTGAAACATCGAACGAAGATTTCATGATTCGACTAGATTCATGTTTTATTGACTTAACAAAAACACGTTAATTGCTTCAAATCAACATCTATAACTGAAAATTCTAGTAGATATACTCAAAAAAACAGAATTTTTTGTTTTCGATTTCGAGTTTTTCATTTCTAAAAATATATCAAAATGTAGTCTATCAATTGCAGTAAAAATCAGAACTATGTCAAGCTGTATAAATCTTAAAAAGTCTTAGTTTCAAGAATCTCTATCTTGAAAAAAGTTTATGGCTTTTTGAGGTAGCAATCTTGTGTACTAATTATATTCATACAAAATAAATGATAACCTGTAATAATTAAAAAAAATGAGCAAAAGTTTTCTCCCACACCATATGTTCGATCGTGCTCAAATTGGTCTTGGTCAATAAGGGATGCGTATTGTTTTTTTCTTTCTTCAAAATATTTTTCTTACAAAACTCGGCTGGTTTTTAAAAATTAGTATCATTGAAAAGAAAAAAAACATGTTTTTCGATAGTACTTCCAGTATTTTACTTTTCCTGAATTACAGGAATAATATTTCTGAAAAAAAAACGCGCACCCCGATTTCATCTCTTTTATAAAGAAACACTTGCAGGTAGAAAAAAAAATGAACTATAGAGTTTTGTCGGGAAGAAGGGAAACTTTGAGTGTATGACAACTTTTGCTCTAATTATCGAGATCTATCTATCTTGAATGTTTAACAATTTGAAATAGATTCAAATAAACTTCTAAAAAATGTATAGAACATGAAGAAAGGTTACCCCAGTATATTTCTATCATAGTTATTCAAAAAAGATTGGTCGAATTTCATATAGATTAGCTCAAAATAAACTCCTGTTGCCATTATAAATAAATAATAAACATCACTATCGATCGAATTAGACTAATTAGTAGAATTTAATTCGTTACTTTTTTATTTTAGTTTTCACGTATTAATTTATCTAAATCTCAACGTTCTTTAATTCGACTTGAACTTGAAAAAGAATTTTCTAATGGTAATTATCAAAAATTAAATTTAATTTTCTCTTCAAATAATTTTAATTATAGTTCTTAATTATTTACGATTTATTATTTCAACTTATAATCAAATAGATATTCTGAGTAAAATATTTTCGTGTTTATCAAAATGGCTTGAATTTGGTGTATCAATACTTAAAATTGAAATACTTTTTGAATATTTATTTAATTCATTAAATAATGACAATCTATTTGATGATGTTTATAATTGTCTTAGTGTTCTATTTACTTCACCTGATGCATTAAAATATCCATCAACATTTTCTTGTCTTTTACCATATGTTATACAATTTGAAACAATACTTGATCAATGTTTAACAATAGGAAATAAAGTAAAAAGATATTCTTTTTTTTTTTTTTGTCTTGATTGAGTTGTAATAAAAAGGAAAAAACAGAATGTATTACAAAATTAATCATGCAATTTGGTGAAAATCTTGTTCAATTGATTGTTCAAATGTCTATGACAACAAATTCACAATCACAAATACTTTCACATAATTTTTGTCGTCTTGTTATGGTAAAATTTCTTTCATTCGTAGTTAGTTTTGTTATTTTCTATTAATTTAGAAATGTACTGAAATGAAAGGACAATATCCAATTGAAGAAACATGTTCAGCATTAACATTTAGTTTTTGGAATACATTAGAAGTATTATATCTAATTTATTTTCTATATATTTAATGATATATGTTTACTTTCTAGGAAGAAATTATTTCAATTAATGAAAAAACCAATCAAGATATTCTATTAGAACTTTTTCGTTCTTATTTTGAAAATTTAATTGAAGTATTGATATCTAAAGGACAATTACCAGATAATGAAAATATATTTACTTATGAAGATAAAGAATTATTTCGATGTTATCGTTCGGATATAATAGATACAATGGTAAATAATGAATAAATTTAGAATAAAAATATTCAAATTTTTAATTTAGTTATGTATGTATAATATTCTTGGTAATAGAGCTATGAAAGGTAAGTTAAATTGAATTAATTTAAACCAAATGAAATTTACATATCTTTCAAAGACAATAAAAATTTATTTCGTTTTTATAAACAATTGAATATTCAATAGATTTTTTGAAAAATCCATTTGTTGAAAGATTGCTAATGGAGAGCGTCGCGTCTTCTGCAGGACATTAATTGATCATATCCAATGAAATTTTGGTCTACTAGCAAAACTCGTAAACTCCTGCAGAACAAACTTTTTCATGTTTCGTCCCGAAAATTTTCAAAATGTCCCGCGGAACAAAACCAACGGAATTTGGGACTGTCCCGGAGGACTCTAGAAATTCGCCGTGGTTCTCCATTATTATCAGTAGTGGCCTGAAGAGTACATGCCATACTAGCGATTAACGCTTTACTAGAAAATTTATTTAGCTCAGCTGAATTGATATTTACTAAAAGACGAACATGTTTGTCACCAAGTCAAATTGATAATATATTATTTATTCGTACATACAAGAAATTTAAGAAAAAAGCAATAAAAAGAATAATTATCCTTGTTCGTTATTGATCTGTTTATATTGATACCTTATAAATGTCAAGTATTGGGTTTTTTTTTTATTGTTGATTTTATTTATGCTCGAAAACTTGTGGCACGGTTTATTAACATGATTATTTGTATGCAGACAAGTTTTTATACTTGTTAAAAATGCAATGGAAAGATCGCTTTGCAGGCCGGACACAGGGTAGTTCTACTTTTCGATATCTTGCCCTGCATCCTACAAAACAGAATGACTGATGAGGGAACCTCTCTAGGTGTAAAAACACTTTTCACTGGAGACTATTGCCATTAGATAGGCCTTAGTGAGTAGTGAAAAAGTCCATAAGAGTTTCGGTGCATGGACTTCTCTTATCGAGTTATGGGTGTTTTACTCAATTTTTGGTCTATTTGGCATGGGATTTTCGAAAAAAATCCAATGGTCGAATTTCGAGCTGAAATTTTGTCCATAGATAGGTATTATGGTCACTAGAAAGTTCCCAAAGTTTGAGCCAAAATGAACTCATCCTTAGCGAAATATTCATATTTTAAAGAAACACCTGTTTGAGGCTGCGTTTCAAAATAGGGACATTTTCATGACAAGCTGATATCTCGGCAAGGATGAGGTCGTTTTGGCTCAAACCATGGTGACGTTCTAGTGATCATAATACTTATCTATGGACAAAATTTCAACTCGAAATTCGACCATTGGGTTTTTTTCGAAAATGTCATGCCCAATAGACCAAAAATTGAGTAAAACACTTATAACTTGACAAGAGAAGGCCATGCACCGAAACCTTTATGGACTTTTTCACTACTAGATAAAGCCTATCTAATGGAAATAGTCTCGAGCGAAATGCGATTTTACACCTGAAGAGGTTTCCTCGTTAGTTATGTGTGTGAGTATGGTTGTGATAGTTTGGGTAAGCGCAGAGAACCATCGTACGACCACCTATACCAACGTTCGCAACTACACCTACGCTTGTACTTACACTCACCTATACCCATACAGTGGATAGAAAAAGTGATCAGGAGCAGTACTTTTAATAATTGCATCTATTCGCTTAATATTTTGTGTACAAATAACTGACATTTCATAGTGATAATTTGCTCTTACTCAGTCTCTCTTATTCGAAAGATTCCTGGAGAATGAAATTTTCGGCTTTCGAAAACTACCAATTATCACAATAAAAAGTAGTTGTTCCATTATAATATTGTTTTGGCAAAAATGAGAGAACAATTTTTTTTGTGTAGTTGATACAGTTATTTACTATGTATCATATAAATCTGCAATATATTAAGTATTCTTCAAGGACCTGAAGCAGGTTATCATCGGTAAATTTTTTCTAACGTTTGAATCCTTGCAGAAAAAAAACGAGAAGCATGCAAACAGCGATGGCCTGATCGGGGTGTGCGGGGGGGTAACACCTCCAATCATCAAAAATGTTCGTTTTTTTCATGTAAAATCGGAAATTATCTTGTGTCTTGTTAGCAAAAATAATGTTACACCCGCCAAATTTTCAAAACTCGACCTTCTTTTCGACAAAAATTCGCTACGCCCTGCCCCCCCCCCCCCTCAATTTTGGTCGGCTCGGGCCATCGCTGCGTGCAAATGAGTACCTATTTTATAGATTTCAACGAATATTCATCTTAACGTGTGAATTATCTAAATGTAAAATCTTAACATTTTTAATGAACAGTTCATTGTTTAGTTATAATGGAGCACACATATACGTATATGTCAAACATCTGCAGAAAAAATATGTTTTTTAGCAGTTTATTACTTGGAAGAACCTTCTTGATAGTAAATTATAAAAAAGCTAGTAAATCAGCGATGCATATAACTGAAAACAACTAGTGTTGCACATAAAGGGACAAATGAAAACATGCGTGATAATCTAAAATTTTTAGAAAGCCATATAATCTCTAATGAGGATTAACTCCATAGTTGAGCTTTTCCTTGATGATACCACTCGTTCATGATCTGATTGACCAACGTCAGTAACAAACAACACTCAAGCTCGATTGACAGTTTTAACAAACTAGGTAAATGCTTATATAAAAGATACAGTTTCTCTGTTTTTTACTTTTTTCTTGATGCATGAGATAATATTTTGAAAATGTGTGGATGAGGATGAAAAAAGTGTCCAAATTCGAGTCAACAAATGTTGAAGTGAATTTACCAAATTTAAATGTTCAGGTTTGATGCAAGTCTAGCTATGACATATAAATATTTTCACTAATGTTATGAAGTTTCTAAGAAAAACACGAAATAACAAAAAATAGTTCTGATCAATTTATAGTATTTCACGAGTTGCAGCAATGTCTATCTGATATGCTGTAGAAAATTTTTATAGATGTTATGCGAAATTGAAACCGTTCTATAATATGCCCTAAAACATATTAAAATGAGTTTCTGAGTGTGTCGTAGTTTTTAAAGTTCTGTTCAAAGTCTAAATTTCTCGATATTCATAGTCTGTATTGCAATCTTTGTTAGCTCTTACTACGAAAACTATTCACTTCCACTAACATTATTTGTTTCGGATGAAAATTAAAAAGATTGTGCAACTTGACGAATTTTTACTAATGGGGAAATTATAAAAACATGAAACAGATCATTTTACATCCTCGAACTAAAGTCTTCTTTCCATTTGTCTTTTTAAGCTATCATACTTTGCATCAATTTTATTACCAAGTAAAGATATTACATGAGAGTTTTATTACAGTGTGATCTGTACATTGGAATGAAATAAAACTCTTATGTCATATCTCTACTCAGTAATAAAATTAATGCAAAGTTTGACAGAATAAAAAGACAAATAGGGGAATGATTTTTGCCCGGGGCTCTACATCTTACAAGGGAACATGTGGATGATTTTTTCATATATTTAATTCCTAAGCAAGAGTCAAAGAACCGATTTTAAAATGAAATGGTCAATATAAAATTTGAAGTTAGTGTACATTTGCCGTTTATTTATCTATTTGCAACTTGATGGATTAGAAACATGAGTGATCACTGAGTACAACTTACTAACAAATTTGAGCAGAAGGTTACATTTGAGACACTTTATCTCAACAAGGTTATAAGCACGCATCTTTTCCTATTCACTGAAGATATATAACTAGCACCATAGCAGCTTCAATACTAGCTACGATATAGGCTAAAGTCTCGAAAATCGTTTTTGTCGTCTAACTGTTTACTGTACCTTTCCTTCCACACATATCACGCCTCATTTTTTTTTCTTTCGTCACACTCTTGGCATCTGTAAACTTTCATCGTTCCCTTCTTTGCTTTATTATTGAAAACTGCCAATAGGCAGTCAACGAAAAATGACGTTTACATGTGTCTTTGTTTTTATATGTTCTTTCGTTTTTTTTCTTGTTTGCCATTGAAAACGAATCGAAGCCTCTAGTACAAAAATTTACAACAAACAGTCAACGCTACAAAGTCCAAGTTAGAAGTGTATGATTAATGGACTTCTGAGTCATTTAACGACTGATTAAAGTTGATTTCGAATAAACTATGGGCCAGGTACATGGTAAGAAAGAATCTATGTTCGATGACAATATTCGAACATTTCGTATTCTTTGGCTTGATTCTCAAGTAAATACTAATGAAAATAATCAAGCTGCTCAACAACAATTACGTAAGTTGGACAAAAATCTTTTAACATTTGACAATCAAGAAGAATGTCATAAATATGTTGTGTCAATGTTATCGGACGATCGAATTGTTTTTGTTGTCAGTGGCCAATTGGGACAGAAAATAGTACCACAAATTCATCAACTTCCGCAAATTAGATCAATCTATATCTATTGTCAGAATATGGCATTTCACGAGCAATGGGCAAGACCATATAACAAGGTAAAAGGCAAATTACATATTTTACTTTTTTCTTTTTAAATTGAATTCACCTAGTCGTATCGTTCTAGGTTAAGACTGTTGCCGATAAATTCGCTGAGATCATGACACGAATTCAATCCGATAAACGGACTATCACATCTCTAGAAGCAACATCTTTGAAAAATGCTAATTATTGCACCGTAATAGATGATCCCTTTGACAATCCCATTGGATTTCTTGAATGCTTCATTCGCATAGAATCTAATCAAACAGATATATTTGAATGCATCTCATTTTGTCAGAATAAATACAAACATGATCAGCATGAACTTAAATTAATTCATGAGTTTCAGCAAAGTTACGCATCTGAACAAGCGATATGGTGGTATACAAGACAATCTTTCGTATACAAGATATTGAGCAAGATTCTTCGAGAAGAAAATATTCGTTTGATCTATTTTTTTCGTTTCATAATTGGTGATATTTATCGACAATTGAAACGATGTCAATGCCAATCGCCTATAAGAGTTTTTCGAGGACAATCGTTACCCGACAAAGATGTCATTTATTTCAAAACATCAATAGGCAAAATTATTACCGTTAAGTCCTTTTTTACGACATGTTTAAGTCGAAATCGAGCTCGATCTGGTTTGAAACCCTCAACAAGTGAGTTGAAACCAGTTTTATTTGAGATTAATGCTACTCCGGAATCAACCAATTGTAAACCGTTTGGTGATATTAGTTTGTGTAGCGCATTTCCTCAAGAAGGAGAAGTTCTATTCATGGCTGCATCCAACTTTCGCATTGATGATGTTCATTATGGTGAGGATCACATGTGGATCATTCAAATGACATTAATAACTACAGAATCTCATAATTGGAAAGAGTTTCTACAACGAATCGATATCATGGAAAAGTGTGTTGGAGGACTTAATCCTGTATTATTTGCTACAATGATGCGTCACATGGGTTATGTCGATCGAGCGAAAAACTATTGTGATCGTCTACTTAAACAATTGCCTTTAGAAGATCCATTAGTTGCTACTGTCTGCTTTGAACTCGCCGAAATAGCCTCGAGTGAAGGTGATCCGGATGCTAATAAACGATGGTATAAAAAGGCGCTCGAATTCACAAAGAAATATAGTCTTGTTAACAGCTCCAATCATGAACCAACTCCGAAATACGGTACGATTCATTTGAAATACTTCATAATTTTCTAACTTTTCATCCGTCCAAATATTCAGATGAACATGCAAAAATTTTCGAATTCCACAAGTAGTCTATTCGGTAGAATTTGTTTGCTAAGTTTCTTTGAATATTGCCAGTCCAGATCATGATATAAGCAATTCATATGAGAGCGTCATGCAAAAATAAGTAGATAATAAAATCAGATTTCGATTTTTTGTATTCTAAATTAAAAACTCTAAATACATAAACGCTCTTTCAGTTGAAACTAAATCAAAAGATGGAAAATCTACTTTTCTCATTTACACAACGAAAGAAAAATTATAAAAATAGTTATCAACATACATGTACAATCTGTTAAAGGTTACTGAATTCTTTCTTATCTGTAGACTTGCATTTATACTCGAATAGTTTGAAGACGATAGCATTCATAAGACAATACCTTGGATTAGAAACAGAAGTTATATTTCGTGTGTTGTTTTTTTCAGAAAAATTTCCATAAACGTCATAGGTCGATGCAAAAATAATTGTATATAGCATGTATCTGTTAGATATGAAAATACACTTTTAGAAGAAAACGAAAAAGAAATACTTTGCTTATCATCGAAAGAAAAACACTGTAGATAGTGGATTCAGTTACGGTAGACACTAAGAAATATTCTTTTTCTATTAGCCTCTGTCCCGTTACGATGTGTGAAAAACAGCTCGGATCCAAGGCTTCTAAATTCAGCAACAGATCTCGATATTACCATCCATGGGATGATGACCAGTCAACGTTTCACCAGTCTTGCATTAGATAAACACCAAGTTCAGCTTCCAATTGAAGGTTACGAACAGATGCCTCTTGTTTCACTTGAAGAAGCAGTATTACCACTCCTCGATCTACTCTCAGACATACAACGAATGGTGCGTACTGCCAAAATGAAATGTGAACAACCAGCCGACGGTCTAACGTCAGATGAATCAGCTGCAATCATGCTGTATACGATGGAATGGACACCATCGGAAAAATGTCTCTATTTCGTGCTGAATTCAGTCTTGCGCACAGCCGATCAACAAGTAATCAAACCATGGCTCCTCTATTTAAAGCTTATTCGTACTGCTCTGTCACGTCTACCGTCAAAAACGGGAACCGTTTATCGTGGAGTGAAACTCGATTTAAGTTCACAACATTCTAAAGATGAGAAATTCTATTGGTGGAGTTTCTCATCGTGCACAATGACAATGAATATTTTGAAATCGGATCAATTTCTTGGTGGTACCGGCATACGTACTTTATTTGTGATTGAAAGTACGAATGGCAAAGACATTAGTCGACATTCTTTTTATCAACGAGAAGAGGAAATCTTACTATTGCCTGCAACTCGATTTCAAGTCATTGCGTGTCTTCCATTTGGACCAGATGTGCACATTATACAACTAAAGGAAATCAAATCTGAATTTCCACTTTTGGAATCTAAGATGTGAACATTTGCATTCAAATAGCGATTATTTAACAAGTACTTGTGTTTTTAGTGCAAGAAATACCTTAATAATAGGTCCGGTAATAATATATGTTTGCAGTAAATTGTTTATGGAGATTTACAATAAAGCTAGGCGATGCTTGTGTTAAATGGAAAAAATTTAATGAATTGCATTTCAATAAACTTTTCATAGCAATGATTACTAAATATATACGAATGTCTATGAAGCTGAAAATTCAAACTTAATACTGTTGCATAGGAAAAACGAGACTGATAAAGATAATGTTTTGCAAACATTCTATAAAGCTTCTTGCAGCAAAAGTTTCGAGCAAATTCAAAGAATCTATCTTTATTCGAAAACCAAATATTTTTTTGAATAAACATCAAATACATTAGCATGAGTAAATTTTTTAGATTTTTTTATTACTTTTTTCGCAGTCTACTTTGAAAGTTGAAAATGAAAATTCTTTTTATAGCTTCAATCAAACACAGCATGATATTTCTTAAATTTATCCTAATGGAGGACGACTGTATAAATCACTTTCTCACCGTCCAAACCTACATAAATTTTTACTCAAAAATAAAACCGACTTTTTTATTATATATTGTTATACGCAATGTTCGAGGACGAACACAAATTCGCATCGCTTTTATTTTTGAATCGGAGATCACATGGCAAAAAATCTATTATCTTTCGAAACCATGCAATGAACTTACGGATGGTTTCATTCGAATAAAATTCGACTTTAGTGATCTTCCATGGGTAAAATTGTACGCAGAATGCTATCAAGATACTTTTTACGACTTTTGGGGATTTTAAAAATGGTTGGGTAAAATTTTTTTTCGAAAAAGAGCTTAGTCCTTTTTATTTCATTTACCTTTCATCCTTGACAGCGATTTGAGAAGAGCTATTGATAGACTATGTTCATAAATAGAGCATTATCAGGCCTAATATTTGAATGATGTGGTCTGATTCATCAAGTGTCCAACTTTTTATGTAAGATCGTTTGATCGATTCACTGATCATGTGATGGAGTCAAAGGATTGAACGGCAAGCTAAGTTTTGCTTTGGTCTTCTTTGACCACACTGTCGAGTGATCAAAAGTAACATCGATTCTGTGTTATTGAGGTAATAGAAAAAAGGACGTAGTGAAACGATAAAAATTAATGTCAAAAAGGTGCATGTGTTTGGGGTTCCGGAATTTCACCAATAAGACTTTCGCCAATAGGACTTTCGCCAATAGGACTTTCGCCATTGGAGAAAGTCCACTGTACTTTCGACAATATACCCCTGGACTGTCGCCACTTGGCAAAAGTACAGTAAGCTTTCAGCAATTTCCCTGCAAATTAGACGTAGACTAAAAAACTTTTTCTCACCTACATTGGTAAGTGTCAACTATGATATATATATCCTAGTAACATTAACTTCAGCGCTGACATTTATCCTTTATTAATATTGTTGTAACGACTGCGATTGTCCATCTCACTTTCGCCAATTGGCGAAAGTCCACTATACTTTCTCCAATACATTCCCTGGAACTTAACCAATTGGCGAAAGTCCACTGTACTTTCGCCAATATACCGCCAGAACTTTCACCATTGGCGAATTTCTTATTGACGAAAGTCTTATTGGCGAACATCCCGCCACCCCTGTGTTTCTGAGACAGCGTCAGATACTTTGTTCTGAGTCATTTCATGACCTCAACAAATATCTGATCCATAATAAATACAATTTCAACTTCTCATAACTTGAAGTGATAACATATATATGTTAACTTTGTGCTTGATTGGTCACTAGCTGCTCAATAGTAGCTTCATGGTCAATGATATGCCTAATCGAGCACGCATCGTCATATGAATTAAAATAATACCAAAATTTCGGCAGTGCATCCTTATCATTCTGTTCGGCCAAGCATTTATTTCTACTTTGAATAAAATAATCACAGGCTGTTATGAAGAGAATCAGCGCTATCACAAATCACTTATCAATGTGTAAACACGTTCACGACTTCGTTGTTCTCATTCACAAGCAAAGGTATAACATCAGTATCGGAAAATCAAAATTTTTACGTTGAAAAAGCACAAAATAATCTTCACTTTCAATCTCCGAGATATCTCTTTTTTTGAAAACATATCTGACATTTCAATCAGTTTGGTATTCACATCATTAAAGTTTATCGATTTTGCGCTTTGATCAAGTAAACATATAGATAAAATGTCTGGAAACCAATATATGACTATAGTCTTATTAGATGTATTAATTCAAATTTTCGTTTTAAGTCATGTAATTCTCAACATTCTTAATTTCTTATAGATTAGTTACGCAAGAGAGCACGTAGATCAATATACTATTTGCAAGATGAAGATAAGAATGTTTAAAACAAAACTGTGTCTTCAATAATGAAACAATGTTCAATGCGACTTTTTTTCTTTGTTACTACAGACATATACTCTACATTGTTTCTTATGCTGTTTTGCAGTAATCTATACATGTGGATTTGGTCCCATGTTTTGTTTTGTTGACACTATGGTCTAAAATAAGTTATGCTATCTTTCTCACATACAAAATGCAATATCACTATTGAAAAGACTGTTATCGGCTCTTATTATCGTGAAAAACTGACGATAAATAAACCTTGATCCAGACCCTTTCCTAGTACACTTTTTTTTCTCATCTGATCAATACACAGATACCAATACAATGCATCGACAACTATTACTCTCTGTTTTAAGTCTAGTTTTATTCGGAATGAGCGCTAGTTGGGCAGCTAATTGGGCGGTACTTGTAGCTGGTTCTCGTGATTGGGTGAACTATCGTCATCAAGCTGATGTATGTCATGCTTATCAAATTCTACACAGAAATGGTATTCCTGATTCGAATATTATTGTCATGATGTACGATGATTTAGCTCATCATTGGCGGTGAGTTGAATACTGTTGTCAATGCGTATAATTTCAATTCGTTTCTTTTTTTTTATTCTAGAAATCCGACAAGAGGTATTATTATTAATCATCCTAAAGGAACAGATGTTTATCATGGAGTACCTCACGATTACACTGGCAAAGTAACATGAATTGATTCTTTATAGAAATCATAATATTTTACAATAGGATGTGACACCAAATAATTTCATCAATGTTTTGCTTGGTAATAAAGAAGCGATGCGAAATGTTGGCAGTGGCAAAGTTCTTGAAAGGTAAGAAGCAATCATAATTTTATACATTGGTGTTGTATCACTTCATTGGTAGTGGTCCTGATGATAATGTTTTTATCTATTATACCGATCACGGTGCCGTTGGTAAGTTATAGTATTTTTACGGTGATCTAGACATGAATTTTTTCTTTGAATAGGCTTAGTTGCCTTTCCATCGGATGTGGTATGTTTATATCTTGAAATTATCCCTTAGACACTATATTTTTTCCCTTAGCTCTATGCTAAAGACTTGAATCAAACAATTACCACGATGTACAATCAAAAGAAATATAAACAAGTCAGTGTGTTATATTTATCAAAAAAAAATGTAATAATAATATATCTGCTCATTTTAGATGGTTATTTATATTGAAGCTTGTGAATCTGGTTCAATGCTTGAAGATATTCTATCCGATAAAATTAATGTTTATGGAACTACAGCAGCAAATGCTCAAGAATCATCATATGCTTGTTACCATGATTTATTACGTGGTACTTATTTAGGTGACGTTTATTCAGTTGTTTGGATGGAAGATTCTGATGCTGAACAAATTGATAAAGAAACATTATATCAACAATATTTAATAACACAACAGAAAACAAATGCCAGCCATGTTATGCAATATGGAGATCTTGTAAGAGAAGAAGAATGTTTATATTCTTCAAAAATCTGTCTTTTAGAATTTAGCTAAATCTCACAATGTAAGTGAATTTCAAAGTGTACAAAAGTCGAATATATCCAACCACAATATTTTTATGGATCATTATAATAATTTACTTAGAGTAAGACAGATAAATAATTCAATACGATCAATGAGAATTTGTGTTTTTCTTACATATAGCGTGATGCTGTACGTGCTGAAGATGTTCGTATTGAAATTGTTAAATATCGTTTAGCAGTTGCTAAAGAGAATTCAATTGAAGAAAAAGAATTACAAAATGAACTCGCTCAATTATACAATGTATGTTGAACTATTGTTTGTTTTTTATTTTAAGAAAAATACATAATTAGTTTCATTTAGGATCGAAATATAATTTTCAATAGTTTGTATCAAATAGCGTCAATAGCATTATCATTAAATCGTGGAAATTATATCGAAATGATTATACAAAAACCTATGAAATTGACTCAACATGATTGTTATAAATCTGTTACACAACATATTCATAAAAAATGTTTTGATCTTCAGGTTTGTTCAGTGCTGCCACCTTTTGAAGTCCAAAAAGCAGGAAATTATTTATAAAAAGCAGAAAATGACAGAAATTTTATCATAAAAAAGCAGAATAAAAAGACAGAAAGCATTGTTTGTGATGTAAAGCTGTTTTAAAACTTTGTCCCAGTACACACTAATTAAGAGTTTTCACATCAAATCTTGATCTTTATTGTACAGAATCAAGAAAACAATTAATTAAAAAATAAAAAGGGTTACAGAACAAATTTTCTTTTAAACGTATATTTTTCATCACATTTAATAGATTTTAATAAATCTTGATTACCTAATCAATATTTATGTGTTTCAATACATGATAAGGATGAATTTAAAAGNACCCACCCCCACCCCAACCGGGCCCGAGCCTGACCGAGCCCGGGCCTGACCGAGCCCGAGCTACTCGGGCTCGGTACATGCCTAGTAATCTCTGCAGGGTTAAAATGCGAAACACGATGTAGTTGTTATTGCTACTCACAGGAAGATTGTTTTATTCTATCTATTTTGGAAAATATTTCTTCAACATTCCTCTCCAGAAATGCAATAAGAAAGTAATTCATAGATTATAATAAGATGTGAATATGTAATCATATATCAGCAAAATCTGTCGCGATCTATTACCTAGTGCAGCAGGCATAGTGGACAGAAAAATGGAACCAGACCCAATGCCTACAGTTACTATAGATAATAGCTTGGTATTTTGTTTAATAATGCTTGGCATTTGATGCTGATCAAGCCTCTTTTACTAATAAGAGTTCTGAAAAATAGACTTTATATTGAGTTTTTCAACAAAATTCTGCTGTCCTCTCACAGGTCACTTTGAAAGTTGAAAAGTTCAGTATAAATTCAATTTCATAAGAAAGAAGGCCTGAACAACTAAATCATTCTAGACTTTTTCAACGTTCACCAATACTCATCTAATGAACATAGTCTCGATGCAAAAACAATTTAGCATCTGGCAATGTTTCCTCGTGAGTGATCAACATTTTTTGATAAGAGCTCGAAAGTTGGAAACTATCGCGGAATTATGTTTATAATCAAAGAATCGATGCTAACTACAACATAAGTTTAGATCTCAGAAATCAATTTTGGTGACTGATTGTTCACTGTACGTGAGATACCAATGTCTACCCTATATACTTCAACATCCCTTTTAAATCATATTTTACAAAAAAAATCAAGCATTCGATTGAACAATTTTTTTTAAAATCTTACGGATTAGGACGTTTCTTTTCCACAGTTTGCCATTTGCCTCCTGCTTCAGAATTTCGTTCTGATGATGATGGTGATGCTTGTTGTTGTGGTGATGATGATGATAATCCTCGTCTATCGTCACGATTTTGTTGATCAGTTCTTGATTTTGGTTTCCATGAATCACTTGATGCTCCTTTATTCATCGATGATTCATCTAAACGTCGATCATTACCCCTTGGACTAAAATTGATATAATCTTATGAAAAAATAAATCATTTTTTAGTATTTACCGTTGATCTTCATTTCGATTACGCCAACTATCCTTCGAATCAGCATTTGATGGTGGAGTATCCTCATTATCACGTTGCGGACGTCGCCATGGTGTACTTGAAAAATATTTTTAAATATTAAAAAAATAGTGTAAAATTTTTAATAAAACACAAACCTATCAGTTTTATCTTTATGTTGATAGCGAACAGTCGAACGACGATTTTCAGCCGTTGCAGTTGCTCGTGAAGCTTCTTGTTCTTGTAATTTTCTTTCGATTTCTTCTTCACGTTCACGTTGTTTCTTAGTTTGTTCAGCATATTTTTTATTTTTTTCTTCAGCTTCTGCACGCAATTTTTCTAAACGTTCAGTTTCTTGACGTTTTTGTTCAGCTTGAATTTTTCGTTGTTTTTCATTATCTTTTTGTTGTTTTTCTAATTGTTTTTGTTTTTTCCATTCTTGTTTTTTGTTTTCAATATGTTCACGACGTAATTGTTCTAAACGTTGTTGTCGTGCTACATGTAAACGTTGCTCAAATGCTTGCATTTGTAAAACAAAATCTTCATGTCTTTGTCCACGTATTGATTGAAGAAAATCTTTTTTATCATTTTCCATACGTATAAGACGTTCACGTCGTTCAATAGCACGTTCACGTTCAGCAAGTTGAATATGAAAACGTTGTTGTAATTCTTCTTCACTTTGTTTTTGTACCAAAGGAACTTCGGCTTCATGTAATGCACGAATAAGAAAATCAACTTTTTTATATTGAATTTTTAATTTTTCTTTTTGTTCTCGACTATATTTTATAACAGCATCAATATGTAAAGAATTTAATGATTCTGGATCATATTTATATAATTCTTCTTCACCAATAAGTTCAATTATTTTGCGACCTATTTCAGATTCTCGTAATTTATCAATAGCAATTTTCATATTAAAACGATGTTCTTCTTTTTCACGTTCTAATGCTGCTTCAGCAAGACGACGTTTTTGATCAGCTTCACGACGACTCTTATCTTCTTTTTCACGTTCATCTTGTTGATGTCGAGAAACAATTTCTGCTTGTCTGATCTAATTTTAGAAAACAAAAAAAAAAAAGAAAACAACAATCAATAATTTTATTAAATATTTTAATTAAAAAGTTATAATTAAATTATGTTAAATAATTTGAATGAGATAAATCATAGATACATCAAACAAATTATTATTTCTTCTTGAAAAATGTATAATAAGATCATATAATTTTTATCTTACCTTCGATATTGATTCTTTTTCTTTTTCTTCTTTATAACGTTCAATGAGTTCTCGTCGTTTTAATATATCTTTACGTTGTATTAATTCATCTCGATAATAAGTTTGAGCAATTTCTCGTCTTAATTTATCATTACGTTCTTTATGAGATTTTTCATTAATAATTTCCATAGATGCATAAAGTGCACGTGATATCGATATAAGTTGATTACGTATTTGTTCATTTGGCATTTTTTGAATAATATTTGTTTTTAAACCAGCTTCACTAGTTGTTGCTGGTCCATTTGAAAGACTTATATCAGTGCCAAATGTTAATGCTTTTGATTTATGTTCAATTCGGACTTGAACATCATTATTTCTTGCAGCATTGACAATTATTTTTTCTAAACGATGTTTATCCATAGGTGGTGCAAGATCAATAAAACGTTTTAATTCAATTGTTTGATAAACTTGTGAAATTTGTTGAAGTAAACGAACAACAGTAACATCACGTAATGCTGACATATATTGTGAATATTCAGGTTGAGCAAGTTTTTCAACAAATTGAATACTTTCTTCCATTTTAGCTGATAATTTTAATGGATTAAATTCAACTTCTAACCATTCATACATATTTTTTAATTCTGGATAAACAAAATTTAAAACACCTTGTTTTATCATATCACGTATAAGACTTGCACGTGTAGGAATTTGTTGTAATGATAATAAACTTGTTAAACGTTTTTGTTTTTCATTAATTGTTTCATCCGTTTCTAAATGTTCATCAATTTGTGTTCGTGGTGTTGGTAATGGAATTGAAAGTATTGATAATACTAAAAATATATTGATTAAAACAAAGTAAATCTTCAATAGCAAAATAACTTACAAGCTTTTGTTGATAAACGACTTAATTCAGCATGTGTTATATTCTTTTTTTGTTCTTTATGTAAAACATATAATTTAAGAACAGTTGTTGCATGAAATACATAATTGCCTGCTTTCCAAAAAACAAGCGCTACTTTATTATAATAAGATGCTAATTGTTGTGGTCTTGGTGTTTTTTTTGATATTGTTGTGAATGCATGAATATCTTCAACTGCTTTAAAAGCTTCCTAAAAAAAACAATTAATCTTATACAACACAATGTAAAAAAGAGCGTTGAAGTATAAAGTGAGAAGTTTGGACCTTCCACAGACGCCTTAGCAACGTCAGTTCTCTTCGTCACGGACTTGTTGATATACAAGCAAAGATCGTACAGTAGCAAACAAAAGTTTCTGTCTCATTGAATCTTAGCTGTTGTACACACTGGAGACCTGAAAATTGATGCAGTCATACACACCACTGCAAATTTAGATCAGCAGCATAACTGCACTATGATAACTTAAGTACAAAAGAAATTATAATGAACTGTATTTATTTTTGCTTTTAGCTTTTTACTCTGAAAAATGCTGTCTGCTAAAGTTTAGAGTGCTTTTTATCAAATACATGACTAATTCTTGATATTTTAGCATACAAATGAAGCCCCGTCTATGGTCGTTCTTTACCAAAACGATGAGTTCATTTGCTGCAAGCTTGTTATCTCTGCGTTTTCTACGCGAATACGATGATCATCAGCATACTATTTTCTTTTAATATAAATTTTTTTCGGAGACTTGTAGGCGATATTGTTTAACTATTGGTGAAGCTTCTCTAGAAGTTCGAGTTTGCTTCATTGAACTCCTACTGAAATATGATTTTTTTAAGGACAGTAAATAGTTTTTTTCAAATCAGTAGCCACAATTTTACAAAGAGTTGATAAACTCCAATCATATCAACAGTGTCAATAGCTAGAACGTAGCATTACATAATGAGGAATCGACTGACTTCAAAAGTCCTTCCTATTCAGAGTTCTAAAGTACAAAAGAACAATAAGTACTATCCAATAACAGCTTTTCTATTTATAAATTTTGTTTTCATAACCTACCTGCCATAATTCCATAGAAATAGCTGTATCAAGTTGAACTAAACGTGTTTCTAAATGAAGTGCTTGTGTTTCTGGTAATTGAAAGTTCACACTATACATTTGTTGTGAATATTTTTGTGATTGTGTAAAATGTGTACGAATTGTATCACATAATTTTCGAAATTCAGGTCGACGATTATACTGTTGACAAAAATAAAAACCCATTCGTGCAACTTCTTGATAGATTTTTTCAACACGATTATTATTTTTTAATAAATCTAAGCATTGCTTATAAGATTCCCAGAGGAATTTTAACCATGGTGCAAGCATATCACGATCAGTACGATCTTGTTGTGCTTCACCACTGACTGCACTGAGTAAAAGACTGAATAAAAAAAACAAAAAAAAAAATTATTCTTGATAGAAGAAAAGAGTTTTCATTGTCAAAAATGAGATGAAAAATAGACAGTTCAGTTTTGAAAATTTTTGATATCCATAATCGATTTTTTTATTTAATTTTTGATTAGTATGTCCTTTGCAATTATTTATTTCTTTTCAAAACTTTTTGAACCTAATGAAATTTAAAAGAAAGATCATCAAAAAGCTTTTAGCCATCTTCGCCCATCAATGCATCGACACACAAATTTAGATAAAAATCTGTACTGATCAAGTTCAAGTCTTCTTAATAATAATAAAACGATTCCTTCATGATCCAAGTAGGAGATTCTTTTAAATAAAGCGTATCCGCATTTGTTAGATCATCTTCAATGAGTAAATAGGAATGCTTTCAATAAAAACACTCATTGTCCTTTTTACACTCAGGTTTTTCAAAAAATGAATATGTGATTGTTCTTTGTATAGCATGGATAGAAGAACCATTTACTCGAAAGCTAAACTTCAAATCTTAAACTTATTTATTCAGATTTAGCTGATAAACTTAATGTTTCTCTTTGAGCGGTAATCTGATCTCCAAAGAAATAAACTTCGATTAACGAAATAAAATTATTTGACTAGTGAAAAATGGCATATCAATAAAATTACCTTGTCAATCCAGTTACAACTCTGGTTCAAATCTAAACAGAAAAGTGTCCTGTAGCAATTCTTTTTTTCCCAGTTTTGTTTCTCCAGCGGAGATGAGAATGACATTAAAACTTAGCGTTCCAGAAAAGTTATTGCCTGATGCTCATATACATTAAGATAAGTTCATTTAGTAGCTTTCTAGTTTGACCTAATTACTTACCTATATTTCTAGTGTTAATTATTTTTTAGTTGAAACTGTATCAAATTGTGTAAAACGTAATAGTACAAGAGACTCATATTACAATAATATTTTTTCTTAAACGTAAAACACGAAACAGAAATAGAGATTTTGAAATTTGTATGACAATCGAGAAAAATCGTTCTCATAGGATACTAGTAGAAAATCTACTGTTAAATTAGAACATCTTTAAGTGACATTTACTATTTTCAGTGATACACACACTGATCATGTGAATAAGAATAGATTCATTTGTTTAAATACCTTTCAGGTGTTTGTAGGACTTCCAAATCATCAATATCCACAAGAGCATTTGTAGCTTCTTTTCGAGCATTTAAACATCGTTGTTCACCTTGTTCGAGAAATTTCATGATAACGTCTTCAAGTGATTTAACCGATACCTAATGAAAATTAAAATGGTTTCGTGTTTTTTTTTCTTAATTTAATAATCGATTAAATTCTAACCGTTTGTGAAATTGTTTTATATTGATGAAGACCATCTTTAGCCAATTGACTTTTTTTTAATTCAACACATAAATCCAAAAACTTTTCCATTAATGGTTCATGTGTTTTCGTCCATGTTCGATGACGACGTGATGTAATAACCTCAAAAAGTGTTTCCAAAGCACGTTGTTTTCTACCAACATCAATTAATTCTAAATTTTAGATGATAAAACACAATTAGATATAAATAATTTAAATATAAACAATATTAACTTACCATCAGCTCGTCGAAGAGCACTTTCAGGTTTCATGAAAACCATTTTTGTAATTTCTTTTTTTATTATCTAAAATGCAAATCATATTTTCGAGTATTTAATAATGTCAATATTGATTTGTAATGATAAAATCGTTTTGTTCGATGAGAAAAAAACCTAGCACCTTTCTTCTAATCTTTGAATATAAATAGCCATTTTTTATGAAATTTCTTGCTTATCTCTATTGGCTAATTTACGTAAGAAAAATTATTTCGTAAATAATGTAAATAAGACTATATATTATTCATAATTAAGGATTTTTCTTTCGCGAGAATTTCATAATTCAATTTTTATATAAAATTATTGATTATTAATTTTATACGATATTTGTACACTAGTGTCATCTGTATATGTAACATGCTTGTTATTATATTGAAAAGGAGAGACTGTGATTTTGAAATACGTTAGACTGAATGACAATGAAACCCTGATGTTTTGTTACAGGCATCATATATAAACCGTAAACCTACCATATTTTCACCGTATCTACACAAGTACTTTGTTAAATTGGTCATATACGGTTAAACTGCAACATTTTAACGGTCGTACATGGTGCATTTGCGTCTAAAATAAGCCTACTGTTTGCAGTCATATTCTCGTCATAAGTTATTGTATATACATCGTAAGTAACTTAATGGCACAGTAATATAGGCCAAATTTTTTGGCATGCTTGAAAAGTTAGTCCATGGCTAAAATACATTAATTTTATATAATCGTTTTTTAAGTATACATATCTGCAATTATATCGTAATTTTCCTCCATGAGGTAGTCTTTATATTGTTAATAGTTGTATATGGAAGTAGAAATTTACGCAACTGTCAATATTTACTAAGTTTATTCGAAAATATCGAGCATCCATATAAGACGGATGTATTGGGAAAAACCAATTTGTATGAGATTAATGCAACAGACAGAGAATAGAATTGTTTCTTCTTAAGCAATTAGAAGAATAGAACCAAGATTTGGAAAATATTTCCTGGATACCAATTACAAGTAAAAGAGTTCATATGATACGTTGCACTTACTAGTTTAGAAGGAACAACAAAATTGAATCGTAAAAAAGACAGCTTATATTACTTCTTTAAGAGTTTTTGCTGATCTTGACCACAATGAAACACGGGTTCGTAGTTATTTTCAAAAGTTCCATTCAATTGTATCGTTTAGATCTTTATGAAAGCTGCCAATCGACATGTGAAGTAGATCAGGAAAAATAGAATGATATTTAGACGAAGAGAGAAAAATATTGCAACCATTAGTAGACTTACTAGGGCATCAAAATATGATGGGTGTGTTGTTGCTTGATCGAACTGAACAGGAATTATCAATTACTTCTCAAGGCATAAGAGTCGGAATAAGAATTTAAGACGTTTCTTCCAGACGATGCACACATTGAACATAAATGACGATCAAATAGAGCATCGTGTCACACTATAATATGACCGTTGATGCATCAGTTTTGTTAATCCAAGGAGTATTATTTTGAAATTGAAGAAAAATTAATACTAAAAGAGTAATTTTCCTTTTTCTTAATAGGCACGTTATTGATAATGTTGATATTGTTTTTCTATTGTCTTCCATAATTTATTAATATTTAATTTAAATGACGTTTCGTTGTTGAAAAAAAAACGTCTTTAATTTTTTGGTAATCTAAAAATGAAATGACTATACATTCAACAACAGAAACAAACGATACATTGTTTTTCTTTTTTTGTTTTGATCAATTTATTTTCTTAGTACGAAAAAAGAATCGAACTTATCCCGCTATCACTATTATTATCTTGTTTTCTGAACAATACATCGGTAATAAGAATATATCTAAATTCAATTTTTTATATTATTTATTATTCATTTTATCGTCATTTTCATATCATTTCATGGAAAGGCTTGGAACAAAATGTTCGAAACAAATGAAATGGATTTGTTTGTTTCATATACGTGATTGATATTTAGGATGACTGCTGATTTTTCCTTTTGATTCTGTTTTTACCTTCATCAAAAAGAGAAGCAAATATGAATTGAACGTAGCTAATAGACAAATTACAAACTTGATTATTTTATACATATTTGCAAAGAATAAAGAGCCCCAATATTGTAATTCTTTTTGTATTTAGAGCAATCTCAACATTAAACTGAGTAGCAAGTATTTATTTAGAAAAAGATTATTCATATGACTAAGGACGAAATCATATCTCTCCTCATTCATGCGAAACTTTGATGAGTACGATGATAAAAATTTGATCGTATATTCATCGAGACACAGCTACGTAATTCTATATCCGAGCATTACAACTAAATCCGATCATCATAAATGTCACGTGGACAATCGTGATTTTCTGTAAAAACTTGAAAAAAGATCGTAAAAAATCACTATTTTTAAAGTTAATTAATCGCTCTAATAGATCACCGATTTTTTTGCACGATTTTAGTCACATAGATAGATCTTGTGTTTCAAATATATTTTGAAATTGTCGTTAGATGACAATGCTTGGTGAGGCACAATAGAGTAATAAAAGTGACTAATAGTTAAAACAAAGCAAAGAATAGAAAAGGTTCACGAGGGAAGGTCCCCAAGTGTGAGTCTCCGTTTCGAATCGGGTATTTGTTATTTTGTAGAGCTCAATGAGTACAGTACCCGCGTATAAAGGATTTCTGCCCATGGTGAACTTTTCAGGAACAACGAGGTTCCATACCTTCTGAAAAATCAGCATAAGACTCTTAACTGAAGGCTTGAATTTTAATATTGTAAGGACAAAACATNAAAATCCTTCACAAAAAAAAAAGATTTCAAAGATAAATTTGTACGTGAAAAAACAGCAATTTTTGTGCAATGCCTTGTAAGCCATGAACTAATAGTTGCTATTATTTGCTCTTTTGTTAATTTATGCTAAAATAATAATAATAATAATAATCAATATTCATAATAAATCACTTATAGATCTTATACTTCTATAATCCAATTTGGCATACGTTGTTCGAATGAAGTGGTCATTCGCTGCATTATTATCGATGATTTAGCAAATATAGTTGATATGAAGCGAAAAAAACAAATGATGTTGTTATATACATTCGAATATATCTTCTAAGAATGCACATCGAACGACGAATAACAATCTTACAGAAACGAAAGAAAGAAAGCTCTAAATATTTATTGTATACAATGCGATATAAAGAATTCATCATTCGTTTGATTTAAGATAGATTAAAGTTCTATTTCAAAAAACATATTTGTCTAAAATTCATTATTTTGTTTTCTTTTTTAATATTAATCATGAACTATTATTGTCTAAATCGATACGTTTATCAAATATTCCCAAAAATTAATTATTACAAATTGTTAGTATTTTGTTTTAACAATATTTCATAAGTTTTCAATATAGAGTTATTAGTTAATTTATTTTAAAGTTGATTTATTGAAAAATGTATAAACTTTTTTGTAACTTATTTAAAAATTACTTAGATATGATGTATAATTTTTAAGACTAAGTATTTTATTTTACTTCAAACAAAAAAGTATAAAATCATCAGTTGATTTTTATGTATTTACTCTTGGTGATGTAAAATGAATGACCTTGCACTTTACACAATAGAATATTTACTACACGATACATTGTTTTTCTTTTGAAAACTAAAGAAGTTGAAGAGAGTATAAATTTTTTCTTTTTAATGTAATACTTTTTTAAGCACTATTTTTGACAATAGATCCATTTATTGATAGTAATATGTTTTTTCATATACAATTTTTGCTTCATTTTTTTATACTTCATATCAAACAAGTAGTAAAATTTTGTAATATTTGCTTTATATATTGAATGTATGAAACCTCATGAAAAGACTCGTTAACCAATATGTATCTTATTCAATTGTTATTTAAAGAAAAAGTATTTCGTCGTTGGATTTATTTTATTGACATAAAATATAATTGCGTAGGATCAAAACATTCTGTTTTTTATGTGCTTTTATTAGTTAAAATAAATTGTCACGAGATTTTATTAAATATTGATATGTATTTCCTGCTTTTTTTCATGAATTAATCAAAGAATTTTTTGCTTTTCTTGTTCGTTCTGATGAATCATATGTACAAATTTTCAACAGTAATCTTTACACTCACTTGATTCTTAATGTGTTCTACTACCTTTCAGATTCGAATGTACCAATTGACTTTTATCTAGTATCGATTACTGTATAGATCTTCCATTCGTCATTTCACAAAGTCAATGTCAATCCGTCGAACAGTCTTCTTTTCTGATCAAATAAGGTCAATAGTGATTTATCATTACATCATGTATGCATATAAGAATGAATGGTGAATATATCTGACGTCTGGATAGGTTAATGTAAATGCACATAAACGCAAAATGATTTTAAAAAAAGGAAAGCCTTAATAAAGTAATCGATACTTGACAAAAATGGTATACATTCTTAATATTCAAATATAAGATTAATGGTTTTTTTAAAATTTTCGATGGTTTTAATCTAAAAAACCAATACCTACAATAGAATACGTCAGCTGTAAGATGATAAGAAAAACCTTAAAATTTATGACCTTGGACGTAATCATTGTCAACTATATACGTCGGCATTTTTTTTTTATATGTGTGGTTAAATTGTAAAATTTGTCTCTTTCATGATGACAATATGATTCATTCGTATACAGCCGATCTTTTTTAACATAAGAACGAAAATTCTTTCTTTCGTTTTATCGACACGAAAAGAAAGAAAATAATAATAAGCCAGTTGCATAAAAAAAAAAAGAGAACGTGAATAGTAAGAATAAAGAACAACGTAGTTAAGGTTCGTTGAAAATTTCATATACCAATATTACAACTACACTGTATAGCTGTTCTATCTTGACATAAGTATATATATATACATGTACAAAATATGCTCTTGACAAATATAAAAGAGAACTGTAATTACTGAACATGAATATTTGATTTGTGACAAACGACCAAAATCTTCTATTAACAATATTCAACAGTAAAACAATGCTTAGAAGACATTTAGTAACGATAAATGTCAAAAATTAAAGATTACATAATTTTTTGTGTAATATTTTTTTACTAAAGGACAATACATGTATGATTGAGTAATTGGCATTTCTTTTTTTCTTTTATTTTAAACTGATAAAGATTTTTTTTTCTTTATAGACTTTCACCATTGATATATATGTATATCAGTATAATATTTATTATGCAATGATAATTATTAATAAAATAGAGAAGATTTATGGCTAAAAAACGAAAGATAAACATTTCAATGTGCAAAAATTGTACTAAAAAAACAAAAAGTGATAAAATGTTAAATAAAAAAGAAGTATTAAATAATAAAAAATTATCTATTGGTATCGTTTTTGGTGTTATTCTGACATTAATTACTATTATACTTCAATGTATTGCACTTTTTACACCACATTGGAAAGAAATAACTCCAAATACACATTCACTATATGTTGATGGCGTAGATGCTCTTATACGTACTGAAGTTTTACATTATTTCAATAGCATACATCGTCATAGTCGTCATTCATATGGCTTATTTCAACGGTGTGAATATCTTTTAAATAACTCATCATCATATAATAATCAACCTGATCTAGCTGATTTCGTTGTAAATAACCAACGAAATAAATGTACAAAAAATTTTTTACCGAGATATCGTGATGATTATTTTAACGAGTGTCATAGTCTACAATATTATAGATTTTGTACAAAAGCAAGTGAAAAAAACTTTGATATTAACAATGATTATCTTCATGCAACATTTGATCTATCAACCTCATCTGCAAATCTTGATTCAAAAATGTCCTGTGATTGTCATTATCCACCTTATGTTTTCGTTTGTCAAATAGTTGGAATAACAGCAATAATATTCTTATTTTTTACTTGTTTATTATTTGGTTTATTTCCATTTTGTACTAATTCACATTATCGTCTTAAAATAAAATATTTTGGTATATTATCATCATTATTATCGATTGTGTTTTTAACAATTAATTTAATAGTTATATTAAAACATTTAGAATATGAATCAATTGCATATTTAGTTGCTATTCAAAAACATTATAAATCGAATCAAATTTATAAATTATCTGAAGATACAAAAATTGCTATTGATCGATTTCTGTTAAGTATTAATATTCGTATTGGTTATTCAACTATAATAGCATGGATTGCTTTTGGTTTATCATTTATTGATGGAATATTATTATTAGTTACATGTCAAATGAAACACAATTATCGAAAAAAAGAAAGTCATACTAATTTAAAATCATATCGTGAAATTGAACAACATTATACTCCATTTCGATTTACAGAAGTTCCAAATGATTCTCAAACTTTATCATCACCAATGCATGTAAACAATAATCTTAATGAATCTACTTCATTGCATCCAATTTCAGAAGATGAAAAATATCAACCATTACGTATATTTAATGAAGATGAAGTGTAACTTACTATTTCTCAAAAAAGCAATGTTGTATAATCTTCTGATTTCTATCAAAATGACTGATATAGAGGAAAGAAAAACTAGAGAATCATATATATTATTTTCAAATGGCAAAAAAAAAATATATTTAATATGGATGTTACAAACAGAAAAAAAAACTGAAATGACATTTTTTGATGTTATTTTGAACATCCATTTTTCTTCACAATGTGTGTCTGTGATTTTTCTTTTGTTTCCATTTTTATATTTTAATCAAATCGATAACGTTTATCAAAACGATACCGTTTATTAATTCTATCCATATCCAATTGCTTTTTATCAAAACGATAACGTTTATCAAAACGGTATCGTTTGTCCATTAATAGTAAATGATCATCTTTAGTTTGATCATCATTACCATCATCATTTGATTTTTTATTTTCATTTGATGTTGGTATTTCTTTCTTATCAAGACGATATCGTTTGCTTAAATCAATAGAATTTGTATTCGATTGTATTGCGGAGGATTCAGCATAAACATATAATAGTTGACTGCCAATCTAGAGACAAACAAATTAGAAATATACGACAATGAACAATTTAATATAGTTTTTGAGCGGAAACTAATACAAAGGATGAAGCAGAAGTGGAATAAAAGCATCCGTTATGTTAGCCGTTCTATTATTCATTGATGTCACAACTAGTTTAGAATACAAAAGAAGATATTAAACATTAGACAATGTGCATTCATGGAAAAATTCACGTAATGAAACAGAAACATATGTTCTATAGAAAAGTAATAGACCGAAGACGAAGTGATTTTGGTTTTGAATTTCATTTATGAAATTGAACGAACTTTTGAACATCGAAAATAAATTTATTTTTTACTTACGATAATAATAGCAAATAAGAGGAAACTTTTATTGTATGCGAGTTCCATTTGTTATTGAATAAATTATATTTATATGATTTTGTAAATTGTTATTATTCGAAAAGTACTCGCCAATCGTCCGCCGTTGTCTTCTTTATATTTGTATTCTCAATGCCAAACACTAAGAGAGAAAAAAAAGTAGAGAAAAAAAAGAGAAACTATCATTTCCGTATCTTGATTAGTTACTCAGCAATTCTCGTTTTTAGGATTGCTCGGGAGCTTCAAGAAGAAAGAAAGAAAAAGAAGAAAGAAACTTCCGCTTATCCTATGAGATAGTTTTTGTCATGAAAATGATGAAACAACTAATTGTTTAGTATTATATTGACAGATCATGCTTAAACAGTGTCACATTATGTAGATTCAATGTCTGTTTTTTATCTCGATTATCATCAAAATAGAAAGAAAAAATACTAAAATGCATCCAATCTATGATTCAAGTCTAGTTCCAGAAAATAAAACTATCTCACAAGATATACTTAATTATTAAATTGATTATTAATGCTCATTTTTCTCTTTTTATGTCACATATTCGAAAAGTGAATTGTTGTAATTGACAATGCCACAATCAATCACAATTTTTCTTATTTCTCTAATTGAATCATTCCGATTTCTTTCTCGTTTGACTCCGACATAATCGCATTTATTCAGATAATGGTTTTTTTCTTAATTAATATTATTTATTTAGACAAAAAGAAAAACAACTTATTGACAAATATATAGAGTTTATATTCAAAAATTTTTAAGAAACAGTGCAGCTCCACATTGTAACCATTTGTCTTTATCACTACCACATGGAACATTTAATCGTGTGACTATTTTATCTCGATCTGCACTAAAATATACTGGTAATGAAATGATTTCACGTGTTTCTTGTTGTGCATTATCCTAAAATTGAAAATAAAAATTTCATTAAATATTAAAAAAAACAAATAAAAACAAACAAGTCAATCGTACCCGAGGTATCCAAGCAATATAACATGCTGGAAATGCATTAACACTTGGTGAATCAGGTGCACTTTCACTTAAACGACCACCATCAAATAAACAACCTTCTAATTGTAAACCAGTTATTTTAATTGAAATATTTTTTCCATGTTTAAGTTCTCCAGACCATGATGTATTTAATACTAATGTATCCATGGGTTGTTTTGTTGCTCGTGCTGTTTGTTGTCTTAATGCATTTAAGAATGTATCTGGACGAAAAAGATCTGATAAATTAATTGTTTGAGAAAATATATCTTGATCTTTTATTGATGTTATTATTTGTTGCATTGCTTTTGCTTTTGATACAACAGCACGCAAGTATTGCAGGGAATCAGTCGGACCTTCCCAACGATCTTGCCATGTTTGTGGAGTCTAAATTATGAGAAAATAATTTCTTTTTTGTCAAATATAAATCTGTATGAACAAAATATTTTTTTCTACGAATTAATTAAATATCGAATAATTGATTGAATATCTGATTTAATTTGTTTGACATGAGTCAAAATAATACTTAATCTTGTATGATAATAATTGATTATTCTGGCCTTCTAATACTGACATAGATGTTATTGTCATGTATGTATTATAATGAACTGCTGAAATGTTGAAAGGTAATGTTATAGAGAAGAATAGATTTAATCAAAATTTCAACTGAATGAAAAGATTTAATTAATCAAAGCTAGAAACAAAATCTGTTCTGCATTGAAATCAAGCTCTTCTATTAGAAAAGTTGATTGAAGAAAAGAACATATTCAAAGTAAAATTATGTATGGTTTTTCTTTTATTAGAAAATGATTTTTTTCTCTAGAATTTGCATGTTTCTGATAATGAATCACCAAAGTCTTTCATGATTATCTATCTTAGATTTTGTCTCTATTTAAATAATCAAAATACAATGCTATTATATGACAGAATCATATCTCTATAGAATATCGTAAACGTTATGAAAACGTATGCCATTTGTATAATGTCATTATTACTCAAGTTTGATCGGTTACTTTTTTAAATTGATTTAAAAGACAAGAATTGTAAGTTTTTATTCTTCAAAATAAATTTCAAATTTTTTTTTAGAGATTACCATTTTAATCCGTAATACAAAAATTCAGCATCTGTCCAATGTCGTACAACGATATGTAAAATTTTTCTTTTTACATATTTCCTTCAGTTTATATCGTTATTATTAGATTAAAATATTTAACATGTCTTATAAGTACTTTATGAATATTCGTTTGGTTTTTATATACTTTTGAAATGAATATTACAAACCTAAGTCTGGTAATAATGATAATCAAGAAATGGCTTAATAGCGTCATTTCATCAAATATCAAATGTTTCACTATGAAAAGACGAAATTGATTTGAAAAAATGTACTACTCAGTTCGAAAGTGGCCATAACCAGACAAAAAACAACTATCAAATTCGACTACTGGATTTTTGCGTACATGTTCTTACCATTTTGTGAACTTTTCTGACGGGAAATGGTGTATTTCCGGCGGAGTCCTTCAGGAAATTCATAGATCCGGACAACATAATCATTTCTCTGTGTAATTAATTGATGTTTTCAAAAACTATCGTAGGAAATTAGTAGCAAAATATGTTCACGATTTCAGTTTCATAATATAACAAGATAAAGGAAATATAGGAAAAACTATTACAGGAATTTATATAGCAGACAGAAATACTAGTCTTTCTAAAGTATTGAACAACTTTGTCTTAGCGACCTATGTCTCACCTTTCTTCGTACTATCGCCAGTATACTGACAGTAGGTTACCAGTAGAAATGTAGAGAACAAAAAAAAAAGGGAGGGGGGGGGGGGGGGGGGGCC